AGTAAGGCGCGGCCCATTGGGTGAGCAGACATGCGTATGTCCGGCGAAGACTTCGAATAGGCTATCCAACGGATCGGCGTTTAAGTAAGGAAATTGCAGGTAATCAAAGTGCAGGGTTTGTCGGCGTGAATATAGGTGACTACGGGTGACGTTAAAAGACGATTAATTATTTGGTGTACATTAAGGATATTCGGCGTGTTTTCCCAAAGGCGTTAATGGATTGGGTTTTAGTTTCAGGTTTTAGACTCTAAGATGATGGTGATTCGAGAGAAGGTGCAAACTCTTTTGGCGATGGGCGTGATAAGAGGAAGCGAATAGGCGTATGCGAGTCCCGTGTTTGGGTGTTTATACCGAAAGATCGGCGACGTCAGAATGTGTATGGATTGTACGGCGGGGAATGGCGGGGTGATTGATAAAATTCTAGGTCATTTATACGATGTGGTGAGCTGTTGGCATAAGTCGACGATCTTCTGCTCCCCACGGCGAGTGAGAACGAATATTTGGCGTTGCTGCAAACGGTGAAAGGATTGGTGCGGAATATTGGCGGCCACGAGATCGTTTCGGTGGGCTTTAAACCTGGACGACGCGGAGAATAGGCGACTTTAGTTTTTCCTTAACCTACAAATGTCCATGGTGTTAGACAGTTTTTAGTGCTGGCGAGTTACCTTAAGAAGATATTCGAAACTTTGCGGTGTTGGCGAAACCACTAACAAGTTTGACCAATGGGTGCAGAATGACGACGGGCGGGCGAACAATATGCGTTTGATCTGTTAGAGGCGAAAATATCAGACAGACCAATTTGGGCGCTGTACAACAGAAAGGCGGCTGTCGAACTTCACGCAGATGCTAGTAAGTTGGGCGTATCTGGCGTCTTACTACAATCGGCGAATAGATAATCTCTTAGGTCGGTAGCATTTTTAGTAGGGCGACTGCGGCGCAGGAGCAGATTTATCACAGCTGAAAGCTGGGAACACTGGTGGTTGGATGAGTAAATCAGGCGATTTCAAGTGTATTTGGTGGGCGTTTACTCTAAAGTAAAAGACTGTGACGGTTAGAGCGGCGTTGCTCAAAAAGGAATTGGTGCTTCGAAGAGCTAGGTGGTGGCTGGTGATTCAGGAGTAGAAAATGGAGATACAACATCGACCAGGCGTGAGTATGGCGTATAGGCGATCGACGATAGGCGTATAGGGGATGCGTTAAGCAGAAACCCTTCTGTCGGGACAATAGGCGTTAACATTGTCAAGATGGATGAAGGCGATTGGTTTCTAATGGTGTAATTACAAGATCCTAAGGCGCAGGTGATTGTTAGGTTGTTGGCGACTGGTGACGTACTGGCGAATGGTCAGGCGAAACTGCCAATACGACGATAGTTGAGGCGACGACTACTGAGAGCGAGAGAGACGGATTGAGAAGCTGCTGGGCGTTGTTTGGGGTTTTAGTAACACCATCAGCTCTAGCACGCATTTCTCTCCGAATCACTCAATGTTCTCACATAATCACGGACGAGTAACCGACTTGGCGAATGGCGAGCTGATCAGCGCTACTACTAACAGGCGGGCCGGCGATGGTCAAAAGGAGACGTGGCGAATGTCTCACCGGATGTTGAATGCTTAAACAGGCGTTTGGCGTACCTATTCGAACTTTGCGGATTCGAACTTGAATCGTGCGGATTCAAACCTGAATCAGGCTGATTCAACCAAGCAGTCCATCCACCTGAGCGAGCGAGGTGACGACCGAACTCTCCAGGATAGGGCGAGACGAGGCGAGAAGTCTTGGGCGAAATCAGGCGATTGCACTAAGGTGAAGTGCTAGGTTACACTCTAAAAGAGAACGTCCGATGATTGGGTCGAATGCGACGGAGAGTTGGGCGGCAACTTTGGAGTTGGCAAATAACGCTGGTGAAAACGTTAACAGGAAACTTTTAAACTTGGTGGTGTTAACCAAGATGGGCGAATGGTGTGCGATGTCGATGAGATTCCCGAACGGCGTTGGTCGAGTCTTATCGATGGCGAAGGAGTGCATGAAAGGTGAGCGAAGGCGTTGGCGAATGTAAACTAGACGGCTAACAAGGTGAAGACGAGATTTGACCGTAGACGAGGAAGGAGGCGAATGAATACAGACCGGAGGATTTGATGCTTTGGCGAGATGTGACTACTAGAAAGGCGGGCGCTGGTTAAAACCAACGGTAAATTGGTTAGCAAGGTTGGTGGACCATACCGAGCGATAATATATCTGGCGTAGGATCGATGTGATTGATGCATCATTGAGAGGCGATGAAAGGCGTTTAAAACCGATTTAAAACGATCGTGGCGATAGATTCGTTAAAACTGTACATCCATTCGATAAATCGATGAGTCGGACGAACGGCGAAAATGGCAGAGCAAGTTGGGCGAATGTACTAGGCACATAAGGCGAAGGTCTTGGGCGAATTAAGTAGGCGTGCTGGGCGATTTAGGCGGGCGAATGTATACACGAGGCGAATTTTGATAAATTAATGAGGACATTTAATTTTGCAGGATGGCCGAATGAACCGCAACATGATCTGCAAGATAGGTTGCTTAGGCGATGATGGACCAATCCGGTGGATCCAGCCAGGGTAGCGCGGGCGAAGGTAGCTTAAGGCGAACAAGTGCATGTAGCAACGGGATAACAAGATATAGAAGTAATGACGGCGGGGTGTCACGCGGCGTATCGGCGAACCGGCGATATTCGAGGCGATTATTCTGTGTTATAAAGTGAACTAAATAAAATCATTCTTGGCGAAGAAAGTGTCCTTTCACAATGATAAAATTGTTACATGTATGTATGTAAATAATTTGAGGCTCTATTGCAAATCAATGGAGTGCGCAATTTTAAATAGACTGTTCCCACTGAATTGTAAACCATAAATCATTCTGAGACATAACGGCAAACGGGCAATAGGAAATGTCCGGATAAGTTATGGGTGTTGAACATCCTTTTCTGACCTAATGTTGATAGCAACGTCAACGAATAGATATGCACGTTTGCACGTTAAATTTGCCTACAATCGCGCAAAAATAACCCAATTTTGGTTGATCGATTCGACCCACGCACCTTGCGAATATATTATTTTTTTCCGGCAATATTTAGATTGATGTAGCTTTCTTCATCCTACTTTACTTTTTGAATATTCGTAACTAACTTGCATATTGAAAGTTTGGAAACCAATTCTAAATAGAAGTCTACCACACAACGGTTAAAAACTTTCGAGATTAAACTTTCGAGCCGAATCGTTTTTCAAGTCCCGAAACTGCTAACAAAGAAGTTTGCTAAACGCCAATAAATATTAATTTCGATAAAAGTAAGAGTAAATAAGTCTTAGTTCGCCTAGACGGCCTATAAATATTTAATTATAATCCTAAATTAAGCGGAACTAAATGGTTTAAATTCAAACTACCTACATTTTTATGCATGTAAATTTATAAAATGTATAATAAAAATCTGTGTACTTTTAAAAAAAAATTTATGTTGTTGAAGTTTTTAAAGATTCCAGTTCATAAGCTCTGTTATTTTTTTTCTAAAATTGTTTGACTACTTTTTTGTATTCTTTAAACATTATTGAACAACTTCCAATACATAAAGAATGAAAAAGTAACTCAAAATATTTCCAAATATAGCTCCGAAGAAACACACTCAACATTTTCCTCGTTTCCCTAGCTGCGAATCGATTTCGTCAACATGGAATTCAAAAGTAATATTTACCGCCAATTTAGGAAACAAACACGGTGCATGCGAAACACTTAAAAATTTCAATTTGTTTCTTTTTGTTAAACCCCGTTGTTTGGACGAAAAATACCATTAATAGTAAATGACGCTATTAACGTCGGAAATGCAACGTCAACAGCAACATGGAAGATTGCATATTTTTAAGAGGATCAGTCTTAGGTGATACTGTGAATATAAATGCTATTTTGAATGAGTTGCATCAAAGGAAAAACGACGAGGAGATATTAAAAATACCAGCCGCGTAATGTGTAATTATCTGGGTTTGTGGTCTAAAGTTCTTCAGCAAGCTGAAGTGGAGAGTTCATTTGTAGTTCATTGAATGGGAGGCAAAATATAAAGACACCAAGGCATTAATTTTTTATCATTCCCTGAAAAGTTGCGAAATATCGCACAACAAAAGTCCCATTATAGCAAGCGTTTGAAGATTTATAGTTATATGCAACCCATCTTGCATGTGTGGTATTTCAAACAATGCTAATATCTAATATCTAGTAGGTAGTTAATAATAATTTCGAAATCCTCGAGCATTTATAATCATTCAAAAAACTATTTCCTAAATATCATCAATATGATTAGGAAATTACACATAATTAAGGAAACGAGCATTTGTTGCACTGACATGTCTAAATTACGTTACAGGAAATTGATCATTAATAAATTTTTGTGATTTTTTATGTGGAAACAGTCGACACGCGCAAAACTAATCGAAGAAAAGCGGATTACTCCCCGTATATCTTCTTGAGCGATATTAATGACAGAAAAGACCATTTATAAAATTTATTTTGAAAAATTTCCACGTGTAAGAAATTTTACGAGATTAAATCGTGCAAAGAGGAAGGAATTCGAACGATTTAAGTTTAAGGATAAGGAAAAGAACTCAATTTCGTTACATTAGAATAATGAATTAACGCATTAATATTTGAAAATATTGCCCAAAAAATGTAAACTACTACATTCTATTAAAAATGAGTTACCCTCAGTCAACTCTTAACAATTCCTACTTTATATATGTTCAGGCACTATTCCTCTGGAAAAAATATTTATTACCTACGCCTGTAACTCCAGGAACACATTCGACGGTCCCCTAAAGTTAACTTTATCTATAAAAAAACCTTCCGTCCTCAGAACTCTGAAGAGGCCCTTGTCGCGTGCTCGGGCAGAAATTGCAAAGTTGACTGATTTTCGAAACATTTACCTTGATTATCGAGGAAATAATCATTTATTAACGACTCGAAAGTAGTAGTGACATTAAATGGAGTACCTATTTTCTGGTTAAATGCATGTCGCAAATTACGCTTTTGCTTGTTGTCAAAACCAATTTGCTCGGACGATTCGTTTAATTTTTATAAAAGGAAATGCGCCCGTCGCGGTTGCTAAGAAGTTAAGTTTTTCGCGAGTGTAAAGTCGGTAAGAGTAAAATAATTATTTTGTTCGTTTCAATTCCGTTTAATTTGAGAATTCGTTTTTAATTTCGACCAACTTTTGTCGGATTGATGAATTTCAGTATGGAGCTTTGAGACCTGCTCCATAAAGAAATTCCTTTTTTCTCTACAATTTTTGATTCTCCAATAATTCATAATTACTATTGCAATTTTAGTATAATTAGTATGCAATAATAATATTAGTATTCCCAGGAGTTTCGAAAAGTAGTTATAGTGGAGATGCAAAGTATTTTTTACTTATAACGAATACAAGACTTGTGCAATTAATATTCCAATAGCGTAGTCAAAATTTAGTTCACCTTCTTTGCATAATATTTCAAACGAATCTGAATGCATTGCCTCAAACATAAAAATTTTATGCAACTCTGCCGATTTTTTAGTTTACAACCAGACATAGCAGGACTACCATTCGAATACCTCCGAGAACAGGGCTCCGGACAATGGATAGCAGTTCATTTTTAAGCCATCGCATCTTCTACCCGATCCCGTTCGCCTTGTGCCTGTTAATTATCAGACATTTCCTCGAAAGGTAAGAGCGGAATAATATTTGAATTAGATTTGAATAAGTAGTAATTTCCATCGAACATCAGCTGCGCCCCGCTTTGCCTACGCATTGCGGAGGGACCGGAACTATCAAACAACCTCAGATAAAAAATGAAGACTGATACCCGGGACTCGGGGAACGGCCAAATAAAATTTTACATTCCTTTTTTAGATACTGCTTCGATCCTATCGGAATTGCGCTCGGCATCAATCCTCCGAAAGTAATCTCTAGGAAAGACAACCCTCGGCTTGTAGGAAAAATAAAGCAAACGGATCTGTTGTCACCACATCAAGTAAGTCATCGGGTAAATTATTTGCACATTTAAATTATTTATCTACAGTAAAATTCAGGATACAAACTAGTCAGTTAATTTGTCACGCAATTTAATGATTTCTTTCTAGGCAAGGAGTTTGAATGATTATTTAATATTTTTCAACAATTGTTTGAAATATAATTCATTGGAAAAACATAAAATTAGTCGATTTAGCAAGAGCTGCTGGCATTTTTCTTACTACTTGGTAGAATTTATACATGGAGTAATCATCCTGTGGGGCCAGCCTTGGTTTGAAGACCTGAAGGAATGTTGGTAAGTTCATTAGCACTTTTAATTAATAACTTGATCATTAGGCATCTAAAAATATCGCTTTTCGGCAGAACATGATCAATTTTCAATTGGAGATACCGACAATTTAGCAGTCATTTCGCAATCAAAACACGTTAGAACTGTCATTATGTAAAATTACTCCTAAGTAGTAGTTAATAGAAAATTAAAAAGTTAATTACGCTCATAGTTAAATTAAGATTTATTTGCAATTTTTTAGCTGAATTGTCTAAATCAAAGAAGTGTACAATAGAGTATAGAAAAATACACTTAAATTTTTTGTATTATTTGAGATTATTTTAAAAATTCTATAAAATGTTTCAATCTAGGTTTTCCTTTTGCAGGATTGGACATCCTCACCACAAAATCACGGCGTCCCTTTGGATATATTACATGATAAATTTAACATATTATTGGTCATTACTGATACATTTGTTCGTGAACGAAAGGCGAAAAGATTTTTTGGAGAATGCGGTCCACCACACGATCGCGATGCTTCTGATTTATATTTCGTTCGTGCTGAAATTCCACCGTATAGGAACCATCACCATAGTCGTATTGTTCGTGAGCGACATTTTCTTGGAGGTAGGACAAAAAAAACCGAAAGGAAATCTATATTAAATTACCCCCGATGCTTTTTAACGGATGGAATTGAGCAGATTTATTTCTCGTTTTAGATGGCTAAAATACTCAAATATTTGAACAAGGAGCTTCCTTGTACCGTCTGTTTCGGTATTTTTACTATCGTGTGGACTGTTAGCAGGCTGATTATTTACCCATCTTGGGTACTTAAACAGTAAGTATTTTTCCGTAAATCAGTGTGATAAATTCCAAAAAAAAATATTTGTTTTAGAACGTTAATCGTAGGGCCCAGTGAGTACATAAAAAAGGTTACACTAAGCATGTATTTGATGAATACTTTGTTGTGCTTGGTAGGGTTGTTGAGTATTTTTTGGACTATTCAAATATACAAAGTGGTTTGGAAAGTCTTAAATGGACAAGAACTTCAGGATGAACGTTCAGACTCGGAATCAGAATGAACATTACTTAAATTAAGTAGGAAAAAATTTATTTAAAATCATTAAGTCCATTAATAAGTATTGATTTTATCATGTAAATATACGAAAGTATATTTTTTAGTGTCATACTAGTTTTAACTATGATGTTTTCTATTAAAAATCTGTACCTAGTTAAATGAAAACTATAGTAAAATTCATACATATGTAAGGTTTGCAATTTAAGCTTAATAAGCACTTAATATTCTAGACTTATTCAACTAAACAATAAATTGCAGAGATAACAGAGCAAACATTTAATTTTATATCCTAAAACTCCACCGCAACGCAATAAAAAGTATTTTTATTTTATTTTCATACATTAACATAATATAAGACATATTTGTGACTTACCTATTCCAAATAGTAACTGAATCTACCTTCATGAATAATTAAATTATTCAATCAGAACTTTTTATACATGTAAATGTCTCTTCTTTCCTAAACTGACCCTGTCCTGTTAATTTGTGGGTAAGTGCATTTCATTGTTTCTCTGTTTTTTCCTAAACAAAAGGTATTTGGTAATCATTGAATAATTAAAGGAAACAATAAAGCGCGGTCTACTAAGCATAGGTTCGGAAGACTTATACTTACACTATGAAAATTATAAATTTTTCTTAATTTATTTTGATATCTACCTTTGAAATTTTGAGTACCACCATCTTGATTACAATGATTACTCTTTTACTTCATTGATTATTTGATTTAAACATCTCAGGAGAATAAATTTATAATTCTGACTTAAACCCCCTTATTTGTATTATTTTTCTATTTGCTACAGAACATCTATAAACTAATGCAGATGACAATTATCGAGGATTTCAATAATTTACTTTATAGCATTTTCCTTATTATTGAGAATTGCTATCGATTTTTCAGAAAACCCCTGTACATAGCAAGAAAACCCTTCCTCGAAGATTTATAAATCAAAATAGAAACATTTTTGAAATACGTCCTTGTGTAAACTTCTCCTTCTCTCCTTGCAGTCGCATATATTAAAAGCAATTCCTTAGGAATGGCATTTTTTTAACTATTTAACAAGTTCGCGTAAGAACGAAACTGATACTCGACTTGCGATTCGAATATAATAGTGTGTGTGTGACCGCGATCCTAATTACACCCTGCTGCACTCATTGATCTCCGGTTAAAATTACATTAGATAAGGCGACAGTAAATTTGTTCAAGAGGTAAGCTCGTTAGTTAAAGTAATAGCTAAGTTTTTTTTGTGATAATTTGATTTTAGACAGCATTTGGAAAATTTAGAGCTGCTAATATGTTAGGTTTAGTCAGTAATTAAAGTTTTAATAATAGCGGATTAATTAATGCCCTATACAAGAGCGACGTCCCGAAAGGCGAAATTACTATTAATTTTCAATATACTGAAATTAATTAATTAATTCTATCAAATTGGCATACCTTGCAATTTGTATTTAATGTGTGGAGAGTGGCAGAGAAACATTATTGTTATATGTATTATTTCCTTTGATACTTGTTTTGTATTTTCATTAATTAATAAAAACCGGTGTATTTTATTACAGACTATTAATTAATATAAATCTGAAAATTATTTATCCAATTATTATTATTATTATTGATTTTTTTAAGAAATTAAATAGCCTCACAATAACATTTTTCAGTTGCTTATAATTTTAAAACTACTTACTAAAATTTCAGTAATTATAAATGCTGGAAACTGACCTATGTTGTTTATGTAGACGTGAATTAATTCATGGACATTACCGCGATTACATTATTTCAGTTTATAAAATAACTTCCATGGCCATATAAATCCAAAATTATTGTTTACGAATGTCATTAGAAACTCCATTAAATCTTATGAATATTTATGGATATTTCCTTATACGTATAGTCAAAATTAATTTTATTGCTATTTAATCACAAAAACATTCCTTATTAATAAAAATTACTCAGTTTTACCTCTTTACCTATTAATTTTATGAGGATGTTAATAAGATTTTTAATTAAAATTGCGTATGGAAGGTAAAGAAAAATGTTCTGTTGCGACATTCTTAAAATATCAGTTGGTTATTACCAGAGTTTAATAAACAAGCTGCCTATTAAGAAAAATTGTTTTAATAAATTCTTGGTGTTTTGCACACGCAAAAGTGATTTCACCATTTTCCTGTTAAGTATATCTTGTATGCTGGCCTTGGTATCTTCGGCGATCGACAACGCAATATGCATTTAAACCGGTAGATATGTGTACAATTCCGTTCATTTTATTAGAAATAATTATTTGATTATATCTTGAATTGACATAAAATTAACATATGGGTTTTTTACTCTAATTTTCATCCGAATAGCCACTGTAATACTATGAACATTTCCACTTATTCTCAATTCTAATTTTATCATTCAGTTTTGCAAAGGTTAGTTTATTAGTATTCAATTGAAATCAATGTGAAATTTCGTCACAGCTAATGCTAAAAGGAAAAAATGTATAACAGATATTGTGGCCTAATGAGCAAGTAAAGTTCATTTAATTTACATATTACCTAAATATTGTTATTTGGTATATTTGCCTTTTAAAAATTTAGCATGAGCAGCTACAAAGCTTTATTTTTTACAAATCTTTAACTATTCAAAAAGTAAGTTTCAAACGTACGTATACAAAAAAATATTTAACGTGTTATTTCAAAATGTGATACGTTTTAAACTGCTAATGCCAGCTAATTACGAAAATACATGAATTAGACAAAAAGTTAAATGTGTAATAAATCGGCGTAAGACGGTCGGGTATCCATAATTAACGGGCATTTATGATAATTGAACTCGAACAGGATTTTGAAATTATTCTGTTTACTAAAAACTCGATTAGCCAAACGCAAATTTCGATACGCCAAAACGAAAAATCTTTTGAAACCTCGTCGTGAAATAGGTAATAACAATAATAATACGCGTTAGAATACGTCATCTCGAATCGATTTGAACATATCGTAATTATTTTTAATTGCGCTATTTCAAAATTATTGCAATTTGCGCCCGTCTGATAAAAATGCCAGGAACTCAATTATCGATGTTTTCCTCAAACGCAATTAAAATACAATTGCAACTGCTAATGATATGAATCAAAAATTTAATACCTTTTTACTGCGATGTTAATTGAACCTACTTGGAACTTTGTCTAATTCTGTATACAGGGTCTTAAGTCTTAAGAAAAAAGTGGGTCATAAAATATACCACATATTCTGGGGTATAAATTAAGTAGATTATACCCTATTGCATTTGACCCTAACTCCAAAAGTATTCAATGAATATTCATGAAATTTTACACGTATTATTTTCTGTAGAAGAAGCAACACAACCGTTTTCAAACAAACCTTTAATATTCGTTTTTCATTGTTAAAATATTACTTTATTTATTAAAACTTTATCGATTACACCCTGTATATGTTGGTATGCAAAAAATGTCTATTTCTAAATATCTACCAAAGAACTTATGGAGAAATGGGACATTCGAACGTAAATATTCCTCATAAATAAATAGCATTTTTGCAGGAACGAAAATGAACAATTCACTTCCGGACCGCGTCTCGGAAACATTTCTCGACAGCACGATTTTTATAACTGGCGCTACTGGATTAGTAGGAAAAGCGCTGCTGGATAAACTTCTGAGATACTGCGACGTCAAAAAAATATACATCCTAGTTCGAGAAAAGAAAGGAAAACAACCAAACGAGCGTCTGAAGGATTTATTTAAGGACGCTGTAAGTCAAACTCCTTATTTATTTACCGTCATATTTATGCACGAGTGATGCAAATATTCTAAAATATCTCACTATGTAGAGAAAATTTTATGTTTGAAAGAAGAACTGATGTGGAGGTACAAATATCTTATACCTTACATACATAAATGGAACAATCTCTACTTCAGTAACCCCTTAGTCATTACTTCATATTTGCATACGCTTATAGAGCAGCTCATTATAGCAACATTAGCAAAACGTGTATTTACATTGGGTTTTCGATTTCAGCTATTCAAGAAGCTTTTAGAGCAAAAACCGGAGGCCCCCGAAAAATGCACCGTCGTGCCGGGTGATGTTACTGAAATCGATTTGGGCATATCCGAAGAAAATAGATCCGTACTAACGAACGAGGTGAATTTCATTTTTCACAGCGCTGCTACAGTTAGATTCGATGATAGCTTGAAATACGCGGTGACGATGAACACTAGAGGGACGAAATTCGCGTTGGAATTAGCCGAGCAATGTCGCAATTTAAAGGTAAGTTGTGGAATTGAGGTATTTGTAGATAAGAAGAAGCCAAGTGTTCTCTCAGTATTTTCAAGAGTTTCTATAATTTTCTCTCTACTTCTGGTAATCATATGGAGTTAATTTTGTTTTAACTTGTGTTGGTATTCTTAGCAGACTCGATAATTTCCACTATATTTTGTTCGATACTTCCATTGACACTTTAATTGTTTCTAAAATAATTAATTTTCTTTTATTTTTATTGATATTCTTAACAGATTCAGTGATTTCCTCTGCTCTATTTATACTTTCATTGTTTCAGAATAATTAATTTTCTTGTAATATTTATTGATATTTTTAAAAGATTCAGTAATTTTCTCTGCGATATTTCTTTTTATACTTTCATTGTTTCAGAATAATATTAGAATAATTCAGAACAAATCAGAATAATTCTTGTTGATATCCTTACCCAATTTTTTCATTTCCTTCATATTCCTTTAAATACTTTCATTAATTCATACTTCATTATTTCCCAATTTTTGCTCTCTCAATAATTTTAGCAAATTCATTAATTTTCGTCCAACAATTATAACGCTGCATTCTAAAAGCTTCATTTTTAAGTCTATTTTATGCAGCTCTCCTGTCGATTAGTTTCTCTTCTATTCTCGTTGGAATTAAATTACTTCTCGATATTTCATTTTAGTTGTTCATTCACATTTCGACGGCGTACGCTTTTCCGAATCAAGGGGACATCACCTACGAGAAGGAGTACGATCCTCCAGGCAATCCGCACGAAATTATCAGCAGTTTCAACTGGTTAAAGGAGGAATCCTTTACTCCTGAAATGACTAAAAAGTAGTATAATGAATTTAATTGAGACTTGTAAAATAAAAATTGGTTTTTATTAGGTTACTCGGTGATATACCCAACACGTACACCTTTTCAAAAGCTTTAGCGGAAAAGCTGGTGTACGAAAAAGTCGGAAAAATACCGCTTATTATCTGTAGACCTGCTATAGGTAACAATTAAATTTAGTGCTTTTAAATAGAAGATAAGACGTGAAATTATTTTTAGTCATCCCAGCATTCAAGGACCCAATTCCCGGTTGGACTAACAACATTCAAGGACCTTCTGGACTTTTCGTAGGAGCCGGCAAAGGCGTAATCCGATCGCTTTACATGGACAGCAAAACTTATGCTAACTTCGGACCCGCAGATTGCACGGTTAGCGCCATTATAATGTTTGCATGGCATCATCTGAGCTCCAAGTAAGTATTAATTATGTTTCGAGCTCATAAAATCCACATTTTATTTTTCATACAGAAGGTTATAAACGTGTTAAATTGCTATCACTTTTAGAAGTTCGTCGTACATATTTAACATTTGCATGCCCCAGAGTGATATACAAATAACGTGGGAGGAGATCTTTAAAACGGCCAGAGAAGTTGTGGAAACGAAAGTCCCTTTTAATAGAATATTGTGGTATCCCGGAGGCCAGCCGACCAAAAGCCGATTTTATAATAGAGTGAGGCAAACCCTCTTCCAAATAATTCCAGCCCTTTTAATTGATTTCATGTTGATCATCGTAGGTCAGAAGCCAATGTAAGCGCCTGTTTAATTTTGTCATTTATCACGGGATATTTGAGTTATTTGTTATTTCAGATTGTTTTCCATACAGATGAGAATACTGAAAGGGCTTGAAGTGTACGAATATTACTTGACTAGACCCTGGAATTTCGATACGACCAGTATAGAAACCGTGAGAAAAAAACTGAACAGTAGGGAATTAGACAATTACCAGTTAGATTCGGATGTAAAGGACGTAAAGCAATATTTAGTCGATTGCACGTTTTATTGCAGAAGGCAATTTCTCAAAGAAACTGATGATATGTTGCCGGCAGCGAGGCGAAATATGAAGATGTAAGTACCTATACATCACTCTATACATAAAAAAATTTAATAATTTTATTAATTTTAAATTGTTTGTTCTAGCATGTATGCGTTAGACAAAGCAGTGAAAGGATTTTTCTTATACATTGTCATGTATTATTTATATAAATTATGTTTGATTTTTGTTTAATGTTTATGATATAAAGGGATATATTGGTTTGTATTGAACATATGTATTGTAACAAATTGTTATTTAAAAATTCAATAAAAAATTCTTCCTTATTGTGTTGTAGATACTTCATACATAAAAAATTATGGATTATTATTTCAAAACAAGCCACAAAAACTATTACGAAATTATTTAGGTGTGTCTAAATTATGAATTAATTAATAAATAAATCCTTAGCACTACAGACGATCGGATGAATGTATTTTTTCATTTAACTCTATTTGAAATAAATTAATTACAACAAATCCACACAGCATCACTTAAAAGAATTTGCGGGCAACTTTCATCGATTTATTTTACTGTAAATTGCGACATACATTGTTCCAAATCAAGTTAGAAGATATAACTGAGAAGCTACAACAAAATGTTATGTCACGTATAGGCTGGGCAATAAAAACTCAATATATAGGGTGATATAGTCGATTGGTACTATTCAAATTTAATTAAATGTTTATTGAAACTAAAATTATTTTACAGTTATTAAATTAACCGTCAGTTATTTTAAGCGCTGAGAAATTCTAGTATGTTCGCTACCTCTTGAAGTACGAGTATAAGCAATTAATAAAGTCTTGCTCTTATTCTATTTGCTTTTAAGTTTTAGTAGAATGCAATTTAAATTAAATTAAATTGAATAATAATATAAGCTCTCTTAACTATGTACTATATGAATTTTAAGAGTAGCAATTAAGCTGCATCAGTAATTGTCTGTACTTTAAATTTGAAAGTGCTAGGTTTGTGTTTGTTATAAAATGGCAAAGTATTTGAGAATGACCCTATAAATAAACCCACAACTGATGAAAGTGAAAGTAGAGCATAAATGCTTCTTTAGAATCTGGTTTTTCGACTTGGTCATTTCAAAATCAAATACAGCGCCCGGTTAGTCTCGTCGGCAGAAACACTCAAAAAATTTTAAACCGATTTTTGAGGAAAAATCCGAGCCCATCGTTCGAGGAAAAGTTCTACAAGAATTAGCGAAAAGTTTCCGATCAAGATGTTCCTTTCGGGCGGCATAATTTTCGTTCTTGCACTGGCGATTGAAGTGAGCAGTTTTCCAGATGGTGCCCCGATAGATGCATGTGTAAAACCCAGAGTGAATCAACCCTATCACGGACAAGCCAGGCCCCAACCCGCCAACACCAGTCCATTTCAAATCTTGCAGTCTGCCGCTGAATACGGACCTGGGACTCAAATTACGGGTAAGAACAATAATAAAAGCTCTCGAAAAATAATCACTTTACTTGGTGAAAGATCTTTTGCGTACCTAAAATTGTGAGATTGTAGACGATTGTCGATTGCGTAGGTAGAATAATTTCAGGTAGCTGAATCAACATAATTAATATGGTGATCTTTGCTTTCAGTTGTAATTCAGGGAGCGGCGAATTTCAAAGGGTTTCTGATACAAGGTCGCGACGCAGCCACCAACGAGTGGATAGGAAGTTGGGTGGAAACTCCGAACACTAAAATCCATCCAGAATGTAGTGCAATCACTCATGCGGACCCGAAACCGAAACAATCCGCCACGTTCGTATGGCAAGCGCCTCACAACGCCCGAGGGCAAGTGTATTTCACGTAAGCACCGCTATAGCTCAGAGGAGAATTGAGAAATATGTTTAAATTATGTTTTTTTTTTCAGGGGTACGGTTTTGAAGGAGTACTCGGAATTTTGGTCGAATTTAGTGTCGCAAGTAGCCGCATGAGTATTTAAATATTTGTAAATATGTTATACATAGATACTTATAGATAATAGTTAATTAGGTCTAAGGTTTTTTATTTGATAATAAAAATTTCAACTTGAAAATTTGCATTTTGGTTGGGTTTTCGGTTTATTCTGTTCGAAAAATTTAAAAATATTTTCCTCGATTTCTACCATCTCATTTCACAAACAAATAAGGATTTCTTTACTTTTATTAATAACAGTATTGAAAAATATATTTTTATCCTGTAATGACAGTCAAAAAGTCAAGAATCCTGTGACCTGTGATTCCCCTAGATAAAATCCAATTCAATGTTATATTTACTTTGCAACCGTTTTATCACCATTTAAGTACTTTTATGTAGATAAAATGGTGTTAATTTATAAATAAACTATTATTATAGTTTCAAATATGACAAAATATTTAAAACAATAACATAAGGAACATTTAAATTTCCAAAGTTGGTAACGGAATTGACACATTTGACACCATCTTTGACAGTGACATATGTCGCAATCGCAAAGTTTATTTTGTTAAAAGAGTTGCCTAGACTTGCACTAGATAAAACCTAATTTAAATAAATTATATGGAAAAAGTTGTTCATTATGAGTACAAATAAAGATATAGTTCATTACGATGAGTATGACAGCAATTTTATCAACAAACTTTTGGGTGAAATGAAATGCAAGTTCAATAAATTGGACGAGTTATCAACGAAATCAAACGATAAATCAAAGAATGTTCGTCCTGCGATAGAAGAAGGGAAAACTAAGGAAGAGGCTATGGAAATAGAGGATATTCTAGGATCGAATGAACCCGACGCGGAGTCGCCGAGCAAAGGTAGCAAGAAAAGTTCTCCCAATCGACGCTCTTACAGGCAAAGGAACAGCTCTTTGGACGAAAAAGTCGATGTCGAGGACAATCTCAAGCGGTCCTCCAGAAGGAGAAATAAAAGGTCCGTTTTGCAGAACGCCATCGACAGAAAGGAGAAGTCCTACAACGAATCCTGCAGGCCCCAAAGGCTATCGAGGCAGTTACGGCCCACCAAGAAGGTTCTGGAAAACATAGCTCAAGCTAAAGAAGTCAAGAAATTAAAATCGAAGAACATCGACAAGCCTTACAACAGCGAAAACCAAAGCACCATTGATGGAGACTCCAAAAAAAGTAAAACAAAATGCCACAAAAACCAGAAAAGACTGAAGGCAAGCGATAGCGAAAAGTCTCACTCCGAAGTCAGTTCCGAAGGGGAATCGGAAGTGGAAGTCGTTAAAAGCGTAAGGAAGTCTCCAAGATCTTCAAGGTTAGTTGAATTGATTTGAATTATTTAAAAGTCGAGGTAAAATTCACGTCCTTGTGCTTGAATTACTCGTTTTTGTAGCCAAAATTTGAGTAGCCCAAAACCCCAATTAGTCATTGAAGCTGAAAATGGGTCGCCGATATCGCAAGACAATCCAGTACTCGCTGCACAGTTGTGCTTGTGCTCGGAATCCACTAATTTCTATCAAGCCAACATCAATACAGGTAGTTAGAGTTTCTAAAAATTTAAATATTTAATTTACTATTGGCTGTTTTTTAGATATAACACACTGCTCTGCGATAGATAACATCGACGAGAGGCTCATCGGTTGCAACAGGCAGGTGAAAATAAAAGATTCCCCGTTGTTACGACCGTCTCGGAGAATCCCTTACATGGGTTTGTGCGAGCTCCACCGAAACAGGCTAAAACAGCACAATTGCTGTCCTACTTGTGGCATATTTTGCACTCAGGTTATTCTTTTTTACGAATTTTAATAAATATTTTAATTTACATAGTGCATCCAGCACGGCAAATACCGCAGTGGTGTTTGCGTGTACTGTTACTGTATTTTTATCCAGTTCAAATTTGCTATTCGAGTAACTACAGGGTGTTAATTAAGCCGATGCTTCAGATGTGAATATAAAGTTATTTTTTGGTAAAATTGTAACACCCTGTAGCTCGAAAACTAAGAGGTTTATGACATATATTAATATAAACTTTTTTTCTTAAAATCATCCAAATACTCATGTCTTGAAGTACCGGCACTCAATTAACACCTTGTATAGACAGGGTTTTGATCGTTTTTAAATTGCGAATGCACTATGTATACTTTTTTTTGAGTAAATGTTCTTAATTAAGCGGTATTCTTTAGGGCAAATTTTCAGAATGTGAAGCCAAACACCAATATCATCAAAAATGTCGTTTATCCGTGGGTAATACAGAGTGTTGTCCCCATTGTGGCCTAACTACCCCTTCTAGAGATATCTTACTTAAATTCAAGTGTTCAAATGCCCCTGTTTTTCTTCCTGTCCAAAAATCAGAACGGTGAGAAACTTTCTAATAATCTTTTTTATTTTTTTGTTTTTTTTATATAATGTAGAAAGCTCAGTAATCATTGAATGTTATTGCTATTATCGGTTTTTTGAAATGTACATAATACATTTATCTTGTTACATAATCACAAATGTTTAAATACTTTTATATATAATGCATCAAAAAATGTAATTTATGATTATTCGAATTTTATTAGATATTTATAAGTATGTACGGTTCAGTCATTGCATGCTTTTGAATGGAATGATAGTGCCCATTTTTTGAATTCCAGAAATAGTTAAAATTTAATCCGTTACGATTTGATAAGCTCGCCCTGTTTTTCTTTCGCTAGTTCGAATTGTAGTTTATTATTTCTTTGCATTTTTTTAATACCTAATTGTAGAGTTTGAATTTTTCTTACGTCTCGCGTATTCTCCGAATCTAATTTACGGTTTTTTAAAGTTTTAGCCGACACGCTAAAATGACATTTTCGAAAGCCTGTGACCAAATTCGTAGTTCTACGCCTCTCTTGATACCCCTAGATTCCTTCCAAAATCTCGACAATGCTCTGACCAACGGATCCGATATGATCTTCGACGAAAACGACATTTTGGATGCAATCAGAGAAGAAGACTTTGAAAAACTGACTTCTATTATAGGTAAATTCGATTGTAAATTACTCAAACCTAAGGTGTACGTTTTATCGCTGTCGTAGCTTCGAATTCGATCGATTTGCAATTCAAATTGGAGGATTTCAACGACGGTAACCTTCTCCATTACGCCTCGCACAAAGGCCTGTTGAGGATTTGCCACATTTTAATCTCCATGGGTTCGGAAATTAACGAAATAGATAAGGAACAAAACACCCCGTTGATGTTGGCTATAATAGCTCACAAAATGGACGTCGTGCAATATTTAGTACACGTTGGTGCTAATATAGCTGTGAAGGTAGGTAAAAAAATTGCATTTTCTAGTTATGAATGTACTAAAAGCATTAATCTATAGTTATGAGAGATCAATTGATCTATTTTAAAGGGTTGGTCAGGAATGATGTTCCCTTAAAATGTTACAGAATTTTTTTACTTGATGGATGATTTAAAAAATTATTAGTTCATTTCATTTTGAAACTTTTTATTCTTTTTTTGGTTTTTAAAATTCTTTGTCGTTTTAATAAAAAAACGCTAAATATAAAGTCCTGTGCCTGTCAATGTTACTCAAAATTCTTGATAATTCAAAAATTGGTTGAAAATTGGGTTAAACAACATATTTTAGGCTCCCCTACCCGCCCCTGCTATGTGTTTTTATATGGGACACCCTGTATTAAAAATTTGCTAACGTTTCACAGGGTACCGACGGTATGACGGCTTTGCACGTCTCCGCGAAATGCGGCAACCTGGACGCCTGCAGGATTCTACTGGAGGCGAGCTCTTCCTTCAAAGACTTCATCAATTGCCGGGACGATGGGGGCTGGACGCCCTTAGTGTGGGGATGCGAGAACGGCTTCGCTGAAATCGTCGAATTTTTGCTATCCAAAGGCGCCGATCCGAAACTGAGAGACGTCGAACACAACGAAGCTTTACATTGGGCGTCTTTCAGCGGCTGTTCTCATATAGTAGAATTGCTTGTTAACAGGGGCGCTGATGTTAATACGGTGAACGCACACGGGGAATCTCCCTTGTAAATTACATTCATCTGCTCTAGAAGCGTTTTATTAACTGCGATGCGTTTTCAGACATATCGCGGCCAGAGAGGACCGATACAATTGCGTAATAGTATTATTAGCGAGAAGGGCTAACGTTTATTTGGTAAACAAAAACAACGAAACCCCTTTGAATTGTGTACCTGAGGACGGTGTGTGCTACAATCCTATAGCTTTAAATATGAGACTGCAATCTCTAGTCGATAGTGAAAACAAACCTTACAAAACCATATTATCAGAGTAAGTCGAGATACTTTTAACGGTACATTAGTTAATGTTTCGATCTGTAGGGATATATCGAAAGGTCGGGAATTAAATCCCGTGCAGTGCGTTAACAACTTAGACGAAGATCTTGAACCTAAAGACTACACTTACGTTACAAAATGCTTCATCTCGTCTGAAGGCGTTTGCATAGATACAACTCCGAAGTCGATAAAAAATTGCAATTGCCAGGAACGTTGCTTCGGAGATAACTGCCTCTGCGGCCATTTATCCATAAAATGCTGGTACGACGAAGACAGAAAACTGTCTGCTGATTTCAATTTTTTAGGTAAGTTAAATTTAACTCCAGGTACCTAATTCACAGTGTATCTCGTACACCTACATTCCCTACAGTACTCCCCTATACCATAATTACACTGCAATGTTGCACTGGATAGTTGCATAAACATGTTAAGACTTAGTTGTTGAACTTTGAAACTTGGAACCACTCCTCGTAATTAAAAAGCACAAATATTCCAATATAATTCTTGCAGATACTCCTATAATATTTGAATGTTCGGATACATGTACATGCAATGCTATTACTTGTCGAAATCGGGTAGTGCAAAGAGGAACGCAACAGAGATTCCAAGTGTACAAGACTGAGAGGAAAGGTTGGAGCGTTCGAACGTTGAAACTTATACCGAAGGGTTGTTTCGTTAGCGAATACGTAGGAGAGATATTGACTGATACGGATGCCGATCAACGAGATGATGATAGCTTTCTGTTTGATCTAGGCAACGAGGTAAGAGAGAAGATGTTAGTAGAGTTTGTGGTTCTGTACTGTGTGTTTCAGGACGTGGAAAGGTTTTGCGTAGATGCGCATTATTATGGAAATGTTACAAGATTCATTAATCATAGTTGTGCTCCTAATTTACATCCTATAAAAGTATTTACGGATCATCAAGATCTGCGGTTTCCTAAAATAGCTTTGTTTGCTCTGAAAGATATAGCGAATGGAGAAGAACTGAGGTAAGGGTATACACATATGTGCAAAATTATACGCTATATGGTTTATGGGTGCAACAAAGACAAGTTCCATTAGTCTCATATAAAGGAAAAGGGAAGGTTATTTTGGGATTGCTACTTTATTGCTACCAGTTATTTTAATAATCTTTGTTCAACTCATAGATCATTATATTCGTTGTGGAAATAGGCACGTTTATAACATACTACTGAATTTTCAGTTTTGATTATGGCGGTAAATTTTGGCTGGCTAAATACAAAACATTCTCATGCCATTGTGGATCTAACGAATGTCGGTACTCGGAAGAAACCATCGAGCAATCATTTGCGTATTCAGAATGTGTCGACGAAGATAGTTTATCCAGTTAAACATTCCAATACTTATCTATTTAAGTATTATTTAATATCCCTTTAAGATCATTCTTTCGAAAATTAGTAAATAATGGAATAATTTACTTAAACAATTTTATGTGTTCTAGAGTAATTTAATTGTGTTCTTAATTATTTATTGTAACGGTGCTATAGCTTGTGTGAGAGTGGAGGCAATAAAATTTGTTATAAAATGTACCTTTCAGTTTATCTACTTTAGCCTTGCTAAATTAATGATAAAGTTTGAATTTCAAAAAGTCACTTATCAAATTAATAAAAAAATCGCCTAAAATTTATAAAAAATTATATTTAACAATTGCATGAATACAATTTTTACAATAATTGTAGAAAAAAATCTATTTTAGGTTTATGTTTCATTTATGCCAGTAGCATGTACCAAACTTCAGGTTCAAAATTATCTTTAAATTTTTGAAACATGCTGCAGAAAAAAGTCTTATATTATTAGAAATTACTCTACCCAAAACGTATTATACTAAAGTGATGTTAAATATTTAAAAATCACAGTTTTTTATTGAACTGTTTTCTTCAACGCCACAGTTAATTTTTTAACAAGCTCTTATTATTTCCACAACAAAATACCAATAAAGGTACCAATCGAAATTATTAAGAGCTGTTCCTCATTATATTTATAAACCAACGGTAAAGGTAAATCTCTCAGTGTTCTAATATGGACGATACCTCCTGTCCCCGTGACTACGATTTCCTTCTCGTCTATAACCTTGATTATCTTCTCGCCTGTAATTGTGATTGTCTTCTCGTCTGTAATTCTGATTTCCTTCTCGTCTGTAATTCTGATCTCTGTAATTGTTGTAACTGCCTCCAGGCCTGTCTCTATTGTTAAATCTCTGCCTCCCGTACCAGGGGGCGACTATCGGAGGTGGTGGAATTTCGGAATCAAAAATTTTCTTGTATTCGATATCCGAATCAGTAAAGCGTTCTGAGAACTCTAAATTGCACTCTTCCAGAAAGTCCTTTTGCTCCTTCGTCAGATTATCATTACCCATTTTTATTTGATCACACAAATTACAAAACACTTAAAAAATATAGTAATAGGTCACCTATAATATTTATCGTTCTTTTAACGAATAAGAACAGTATTTTTATTTTTCCAACCTCAAATATTTATTTAGGTTAGGAAACAAAATTGACAATTGACATACATATATTCTTCTTCTCTTTATAAAACAAAACTCACTGAATACACGAACAGTAAAATATTCTAATGTCACTGTCAATTTTGACAGATATCCAAAGTAAGAATGAGCGTATAATTTGACATAAAAAAAGTTGAAAAATTGTTGTGTATATCAAAAATGGTAATTTAATTTGAAGCCATGAGACCTTCATTCCTTATTAAATTGGTTAATTTACAGAATGGTATCATTTTGGCTGGACTAGGTTTGGCTGCTGTAGGTTATGTAGGAAGGTATGCCCTTCGACAAATGCCAAATGCGGCGAAGAACTTCAACGAAGCACTGAAAAACTTGCCCAAATTCGATGCGGCTTCTGTGGCTAATTCGAAATATTACAAAGGCGGTTTCGACGCCAAAATGAATAGAAGAGAAGCTGCTTTAATATTAGGTAAATACGTTTCGATACATGTTCGTTTAGTACAGATCGTTTGCTTGCAGGAATCAGTCCCAGCGCCAATAAAGCTAAAGTAAAGGATGCTTTTAAGAAAGTAATGGCCGTAAATCACCCAGATAGAGGAGGCTCCCCTTATATTGCGTCTAAAATAAATGAAGCTAAGGATTTTTTAGAGAAACATTCTAGACAGTAAAAAATGAAACAAGTAATAGTTTAATTATACGATTGTAAATAAATCATACAAAAAAAATAAATCGAAATCTTACGTAGACTAGATTTTTGTGCCTTTAATGTTATAGTTTAAATGTCTTTACTCTTTAGCATACGTCAAATCATTTATCTTTGTCTTGTATATTATATTGATATCTTAGCCTCCTTACGGTCGTATTGGACAAATTCCCGGATAATTTGAACACTTCCTGAAAATGTTATAAAATTTACCTTGTTGTAACTATAGCTTAATCAACTTACTTGCATGAACTTATGACAATTTATAACAGATTCGTGGTTTTTCATGTCTCTAAAACAGCCTATTAATTCTCCCAATTCTTTGGTTTGTAAAATTTTCTCTTTATGCAGCCTTATGAGAGTAATTGCTACCCTAAAAATAATCTTTGATCCTTCGCTAAATAAGCAGTCCCATATTCTGAACACAGTTTCCGCAGGTAGTACCTGAAATATTTACAGTTCATTAGTAAAGTGTAATATTCAACAGAGATGGTTTATGCGCATTTTTCAAATTGTTAAAGGAATATTGGAAGATTTTCCGTAATAAAAAATGAAGTTTCTTTAAAGCTATCATCAAAAACAATGCATAATTCCATCTCTGATATTAACAGATACTTCAAGATAATTTAAAGCAACTTTTCAGTCTGTTTAAAAGCATTGTCGTATACATATTAATTACCTCGGAATATAAACAAATAAACCATTTGGTAGTGCCCATCGCCCAAGGCATACCTATATTATGTATGTGCCTATGCACGACGGGTTCTAACTTACGTACTAATTCATCTAAAACATCGAGGTCGACCAACAGACCTTTCATAGTGACAATGTAGTACTGAGGCAGGATGGTTTCGACCAAAGCCTTGAGCAACCAAAAGGAAACTTCTTCGTTTTTCGTTGCTAACAGCAGGAGGCCTGCGATGTAATTCAGGCCTTGGCAATAGCCCACTTCTTTGTTTTGATGAGCGAACGTTGCTAGAACGTTGAATAGCATTTTAGGAAGGTGCTCGTTATTACTGAAGTATATGTTTTCTAAAACAAAAAGTGTAATGAATGGTAGAGTCAAAATAAATCGAGTAGTTCAAATTAGCCTTTACCTGGAAAAGTCCTAGGTAAATCAATTTGGATCATATCAATAATGTGCTGTTCTCTAATCTTTTCTCTTAAATTGTTATATGTATAAGGGGAATTGTTCTTTAGGTTCTCTCCTCCGGATACCCGCATCCATACAGTTGATCTCAAATCGCTCGGAATTCCTTTTCTTATAAACCTCTTTAACACTGCAGGTCTGTTGAAAATGTCGTTCTTTAAGGTGTTCCATCTTTGGGCTCTTCTCGTTAATACTCGAATGTATTCAGACATAAATTCATCGTACACATCGTAATTGAAGTTTTCTGAACGTTCGAAACCATATTCATCTACTTTGCTAAAAATGATTTTGTTTAGAAACATTTAATTAGTGTAAATTGTAGAGTTTTCACCTGAAAACGGATTTAGCCATGGCTGTGGAGCATTCTACCTAAACAGTACTTCACAAACAATTGATGCTAAATGTAGGTGACTCATATTTCTGTTATAAATACGATTAAATAAGTAATTTAAACACTATCGTAGGTCAACCTAAAAACTGACACCTAAATTGGTTAATAAAGATCGAATTGGACTATATGAATGAATCAAAATTCCGTTATAAGACTTACTTTTAGAGGTGACTGACTCATATCTCACGCTGATAAAAATTTAATTAAACGTTCACCATTACTTAATATATTATCAAACCATTTATTAATTACTGAACAATGTGGTCAATATTAAAATATTTCCAGTTTCAGTAAATGATAAATAAATAAAAATATTTTTTATATAAATCAGAAGTAGAAAATGACAGTTATCGTAAATAAAACCGAGTACTAGTCATGCTCAAGACCGCTAGTTAGGGAAATTGCACTTTGTAAAAAAATTATTTTGGCAGAACTGCTAATGTCAATATTTGACATTGACAACTTCAAGACTTCCAATTCTTTTCTTTGCACATTTCAAACGAGACGTGTGCTTGTTCTCTAAAGAGCTAAGGCCCCACGGCGACTTGCACCAATTTTTATACTAAAAACTATTAGAAACAGTACAAAATGGCTTCAAACGCTGAACTCGCCTGCGTCTACTCGGCCCTTATTTTAGCTGATGATGATATCGCAATCACTGTAAGTATTTATTATACATAGCCTTATCACGATACTTTACCCTTAAATATTTGCGAAATACGCGCCCATCTAAATATGTAACTTACTATTAACTCTTGTTGTTTTAACGGTGCGTTTATTTTAAGTAGTATTTTTTGTTTATATTGTTTTTTACCATGTTTTTATTCATAAACATTAGAAGTTAGGTTATGTTGACTATAGCGTTAGGATTTTACCCCACATTTTTAAGCCGGCCTCCTTTGATTCCAATGCAATGAGAGGTGTGCAATTTGTGGGTACAGCAATGTCTTTTCAAGTGTATGGTGGATCGGTATCGATCTGAAACCACCAAAGGAAGATTAGAGACATCATAACCATTCTATCAATAACAATGCGACGAAAACTAACCTAACATCTTTTTAAGGGTGAAAAAATCCAGACCATCTTGAAAGCCGCCAACGTAGACGTTGAGCCCTACTGGCCCGGACTTTTCGCCAAGGCTCTCGAAGGTGTCAACATCAAGGAGCTCATCACTAACATTGGATCCGGAGTAGGTGCCGCCCCCGCCGGAGCCGCCGTCGCTGCTGCTCCCCAAGCCGCAGCTGCCGCCGCTCCCGCCAAGGAAGAGAAGAAGAAGGAGCCCGAACCCGAGGAATCTGACGATGACATGGGCTTGGGATTATTCGATTAAGGTTCAAATGTGTTTTTTAAGTTATTGACTTAAGAAATAAAATTTGTTTTTTAAATAAACGTCGTTTCTTCATTCAACGATGGCTCAAACGAGAGTGTAAAATAAATGTATATACTTGTAACAATAAGTTTAGCAACAATTTAGTATAAATACAGCCCCAATTTCACTTAATTAAATTTAAAATTATGTAACTACGATACACATTTAAGCTCGTAACAAAAAGTACAATATTTAAATTAATAAAATGATCCTTATTCCATAAACAGATACGAAACTGCTTCGACAGCCTTAACTCTAACGTTCTCATTTTCGTCGTTCATTAACCTCAACAATCTATCACAGACTGTATCCAGAGAAACTCTGGATTTGTTTTCTGTTGTCAATTGAGAATATAATATACCCGATATAAGCGCGGCATTGCTCTTTATATCGATCCATTGACTCTTAAAATAAGACAAACAAGTCATTATCAGTAAAGGAAATAGATCTTGAAGGTCCTCGGCCTGAAAATAAAATTTAAAGAAAATAAAAAAAGGTACCACCAACGATAAAGTAATACCTACCATAAGTTTAATAAAATCTTTGATAAAATCTGTAAAATGTAAATTTCCTTCATCAATTAAATGCTCCTGTATCATGGAATTAACCTGAGGACTTTCCAAGTACGGGCCTATTTTCCTCAAGGTGTATTTACAAGCCTACAAATAAGTACATTAGAAATGTTCTCACAAATTTGTTAAGAATTTTACCTTCACAACGCCTATATCAGGATCGCTCAAGTGCAGCAATAACGTGATAATATTTCCGTGAATTTGTTCTTTAAAAGCCTCCAAGTTTCCCTCGGTATTCAAAGACTGCGTTAAATCGCCCAGCAATTTAAAGGCGGCCTTTCTTAAATTATCGTCCTCCCTATCCAATAAAGGTTTTATTCTCACAGCTGCGGTCACTTGGAATGAGCTAAATTTAACGCCTTCCATAGCCAGTAACAACTTCGAGAAACTCAACATCCCTTCTAATATAACATCACTTTCATTGCTACAAAATAAACGCTGTTCAAAAACTGGAAATATGTGAACCCCAGCGAACAAAAATCCTTACCCTATATTATTATAGTCGAGACTATTCATCAAAACGCTAAGAATGGGATTACAGTGCCTAGAAACCAATTCGTAGCTGAGATTCTCCGCAGCGTATCCCAAGCCCTGTAACGCCAATTGCCTAACCAGAGTACTGGTATCTCCTTGCACGTCCAGAATCATCTCCAGCAGATTTTCCGTGAGCACATTTTGCTCCGTGTGGCTCTGTTGCAACAAATACGAGAAAAATGCCACTGTAGCAACTCTCTGAGAATCGAAATCCGCCCTTATGTAGGGACCTAAACTAGCCACTAACCAGGATAGCGCTTGAGGATGTTCCATACAAACGTTTTCAACCAAACATTGGACAACCTGTAAGGACAATTTTTAAGAAAAATCAAGGAATTGAATGATCGAATAACTATTGAGTGATTGAATGACTATTGATTGCATGATTGAATAACTATTGACTGCATGATTGAATAACTATTGACTTATTGAATTGATGACTACTGAGTGATTGAATGACTACTGAGCGATTGAATGATCGATATTTGCATTTATTTTGACTGGTTTGTAGATGGCATTTTGTATGGAAAGAAGTGCTTACCTCTAGGAAAAGATTCATATTTTCAAAAGAATCACCACTACTGATAAACAACAAAGTAGCCGCCATCTTCTCGAACTCGCAGCACGTTAAAAACAGCCTAAACGTCTCCACGGCCACTTTGGCTGGTATCAATTTGTAAGCGTCTCTGTTGAAACTGAAATTGTACTTTTCTTTGGAATCCGATTTCCTGATGACGGGCGCCACTGTGCCCATGTACGAACAGACGGTGGTCAATAGGATCGAAAACAACTCGGGGAATTGGTTCAGACAAATCTCCTTCAATTGCGCGTTTTTCAGGAGCTCGTTTAGGGCGCAAATCGCCTGCAAGGGCGTCTGATTCGCTATTTTTACGTCTCCGTTTTGTTCGTCGTCGTACAAAGGGGTCGATTTTATGATCTTCTTTAATTGGTCTATCAGATCGGCCACTAGCGTGAGATCTGTGGAAAGGATGCCCCAACATTCCGATATTACACTGAAAAAAAAATTACCAATCAATTCCGTACTATATCATTTATAACAATTAAATAAACCTACTTATCAAACGGCAAAGATTGCGACAGCAATATCCCACAAACGATTTTCGAATGGTGCATGGCTAAATTCAAAATAGCCCTGTACGTGGTAGACTTAGTTCTCGGGCACTGAATTTTATACAACTTCTTCAACAACTCCTCAGTAATGTGAGCTACGTGACTAACTAACTCTCCGCCTAATAAAAACGAATCGCGTTAACGAAATACACGCTAACAATAAAAATATTCACCTTTATTTTTGAGCAACAGGTTCAGTACGACGCTGCTGCCGTTAGAGCTAGACGATTCGCAATCTAACAACGCTTCAATCAAGCCTTCTATGCAGTGCATAAGCTGAAACGGCGGTAAATTAATACTTATGATGTGTGCTAGATCGGATGTGAGATTATACAATAGTTTAGGTTCGTCGGAATCGATCTGTTGTTGGATGTGTTGTAGGGAATTGGAGAGGATTTTGTCGTGGTCTCGCATGTGACCTTCGTAACGCGCTGCAATGCATAGAATTAGGCTGAGACATTCGACAGCCACCTAGAAAAAAAATTACAGTGAGAATTGCGAGAGTTGCAAATGGCGGAAATTGTACCTTTCGAATGTTTTTATTCGGATCGGTACACCTCGGTATCACTTTGGAGAGGAGAAAACCGGTTTGACCGAACGTGGTGGGACATTCGTAGGCGAATTTCATGTTATCGAGATACGTCTGTAGAACCAAACGCATGGTTTCTGCGGCTGGAAGACGTTGTTCTTGTCTTTTTTTACCTGTAAATTATTGTAAACGTTTACTCGAATCGAATGTTACTAAAAACAATTACCTAGCCACGGTTGCAATAACCACACAATTTCGTCTAGAGTAGCAGGCGATAAATTCTGCAACAGCAAATCTTTAACCAGCTGGTTTAATTCGGTAAAACTTTTCGTAACGTGCGGCACGAGCTTCAATTCCCCGTAATATTTTTCGGTGTTGTCCTGGTTTATTTTGCAGTATATTATGGCCGCGTTGTAAACGTTATCGAAGAACAGCTTTAAAATGTTTATTCTGTCTTCGGATTCAATGGGAAGAGGCAGCCTCACGAGAGCCGTTACTGTAGGAATTATCAACGGAAAGAGTTCTATGTATTCGGGGCCGCTGTGCAAGTGAACTTGAGATGATACTAATCTGAAACCGCAGTGGTATTTGAGTGTTCAAAAATCCTAATAATGTAATTACTTTATAACATTGTCCCTCTCGTTCATTCTAATATGCATGGAGTTTCTGTTAGGATGCATTGCATCGGCAACAGCATTGATTGTTTTCAGGCAAGCCTTTCTCAGTGTAAAATCTTTACTATTGACCAGTTCTTGCATCGCATAGTCCAAAATTTCGCTTTCGATCACTTTTAAAAGTCTATCAGAAGGCGCTTCGTTACAAACCTAAAAAAAAAAATCAAGCATCAAGAATCAATCGGTACTATTTTCTTCACTTATTATACCTGAGCATAACTATACAGTACCGTATACTTCAACCTCTCTAAACCGATCTCGTGTTTCTGATCTTTCAGAAAAGTGAAAAATTTCGAAGACTTCTTCGTCAAGACCTCTTTTCTGATGTGCCCCAATTTATTCAGGACTAACTGCAAGTGGGTTCTCGAACAGATTCCCACAGCTTCGGCACAAGTTTGCGATTCCACATAATCGGTTAATCTGATACTACCCAAAATACTATCTAACGTTTGCATTACAGCTTCTTGGTCTTTCAAATAACACAGCGCTATAGCCATGCACTTTAAAAGAAAGTGCTTCTCCGATTGCTTAATTATGTAATTATCATTTTGGGAACCCACAAACCTGTAATAAAAAATAGTTATAACAATTTGATGTGAATTATACATGAATTATACCTAATACTATTGTAAACATCCATCTGTTTCTTCGCGTTCGAAACTACTATTTCATTGAAGCTTTCATTATTGGTAGTTTCGAGCAGCAAGTTCAGGAAATCGAAAATCAAATCGTGCCATTCGGGGAAGTTTATGTTCTCGAAATTCTGCTCCAGGTATTTCAGCAACTGCGGTATCTTAACGTCCCAAACCGCTTTGTACGAATCGATGGCGCACGGTTTGATGTGCTTCAAGAAATTCAGTATGTAGCAGCCCCTGAAATTGGGCAGGGGATCGGCCAGCAGAGCCAAACATCGAATGAAAGCGGTGTCGCAGCATTCGGGCTTCTCCTTCTTCGAAGCCAAATGCGTCAGGCACCTCATTATGACGACGACGGCGTCGTCGTAGGTCGTGATTAGGAAGTTTTTTAACAGCAAATTCCATAGAACCGTTTCGAGTTCCGGAACCGAAGTGCCGAGCATGTAGAGGGTGTTGTCGGTGGATTTTTGAATATTCTCCAACTCTTGTGGATCGATTATGGAATTTTTCGGCAGCACTTGCTTGCAGCACATTTTTAGAACAAATTCGATATACTTTTCAGGCCCGTCCGGATTAATATCTGCAAATTAAACAAATATATTTACTCAAATAACTAGCGTATTCCTCACCTTTATCCATAAGGACCCTTTTAAGGCACAAAGCGACGATAATTTTAACTACAGCTTTCTTTACTTTCAAATTACTCTCATTTAAAACGTCATTAACACATTTAACGATATCCTTGTATCTTCTCTTTATACTCTGATCTCCCGAGTAAGAAATTAAATGGGTTAAAACTATCAAAGCTTTTACTTTCTCCTTGTCGTTGTTGTTTCTCAAAGAAGATAATAGTTGGTCTAATGTGTGATCGGTGAAATAAAGAGCGAAGCTCTCGTAGCATCTCAATACTTCAGAGTGGCTCTTTAATAATCCTGGCTGAGCGTAATCCGGAGATATACACACTAAGTCGAACAATGTGTTTAAAACGTTGGATAATGCTGGTTCTAATAGCATTCCGTTCACTGTAGTGGATTTTTGGATAACAGAACCCAAACATTTGGTAATATTATAAGGGTTGATGTTCCTTCGATACAAATTCAGTAGAACTTGTATGACTTTGGGGATTTGCTGGGTGACCCTTTCAACAGTCAGTAGTGGAAATATTGATGTTATGGCTTCCAAAACACATTCGACAGTTTTGGGATCCTTTGAATGTATCCAATTCGTGAATATGACATCGTAAGCCATTCCGATTTCAACGTTGAAATTTTCAATAGTTAACGTAGGATCTATCGTTTTTTCGGTATTCGAAATGTACTCCGTAAGAGCCTCACAGAAATTTCCTAAAGCTAAAAAGAGATAAATTAATTTTGAAGTTACGATGTTCAAAATACGAGCATACCGAAAGAAAATGATTGCTTCAGCACTTCAGTTCTCAAACCTCCCAACAGAGGAAGAATGACATTCAAAATATCTTTCAAATATGGTACTACTCCTCTAACATTTGCACTAGCTAATGCTCCCAAAGTGTGAGGTACCATGTGGTGAGGAATCACACCAGGCTTCAATTTTTCTAATAAAGAATCCATTACCTAACAAAGTAATACTCGTAAAGTAATTTAACTAACTCACAATTGCATGTAATCAGCTTACTTGTACGTAATGTTCCCTTCCCAAAGCAACTAAGATTCCACAAGCAGGCATCTGTACCAGTGGTTCAGAATTAATCTGATACGTCATAATACCCAAGCTTACTTCTATAGTTGATATGATCGTATCGCCATTTATTTTTAAGATGTGATCGGAGCACACGGTTTCCATAATAGCTAGTATTGAAGACATGTGCTCCGGAGGAGGTTTGGGAGTTTTGGTTAGAAAATTGCAACTCGAGTTCAACACTTGATTCGGATGCTTCTCGGATAACTTCTTTAAAGAGCATTTTAAAGATTCTATCACCGAAGGGCTCTTATCAGTTACCGCCTGAAGTAACGTTCCAACAGCCACTGTATAACAATTAATGTTTCGATTAGAATAATTCGATATTAATAAATGCATTTCTTACCTTGTAGTTGTGTTTCGGCATTTGCTTTACCATTTATAGCCATTTTTATCAAAAAACTTTATTCTTTATTTTGCATTTCATATGATTTTTGTTTTGACATTAATGACACTTCAGGTCTTTGACATGTTACACTATTAGTTAGGCAACACTTTTAACACATTTATAAAGATAAGCTGTTGCTTTCCATTTTGGAAAAGAAATGTTTTTATCTTTTCTCGTTTTTATTTAACACAATAACAAAATCCTTATATTAAACCTTCTTCTGTAACGGAAAAACAGCATTTTTGTCTTAATAAATCTGGTGAAAATACAATTTCAAATTCCCTTAAAGAATTATCGTTGCTTCTTAGTATCTGGCAACGATAATTTAAGCTATTACTCCACGCAATACCTAAACAAGGCTCCACTTTATTGTTCTCTATATCATCAAGTACCTAAAAAAATTAAACTAGAATTTATATTAATTAAATTAAAGAGTTTCCTTCACCTGATTGGTACAAACGATGGCAATATTATGTTCATTGGCAATTTCATTCAATTTATGTGCGATGCCAATTAAATCTCTACTTCTCATTGCATATTCTCTAACATTGTCACTTCTAAACGGACCTGCTATTGAATCGACTATGATTAAACCTATATTTTCTCTTCTAAGTAACAACTGCAATTCCACGGATAAGCAGTGTTGAAGTTCTGCCACTACAGAAACGTGCTTTAAGAAAACGGAATCTTCAAAATTTTTATTAGGGCAATTGTATTTGCTTCTAAATACGTTTGCCAATTGATGTAAACGTTGCGAGGGGAAAACGCCTTCTGTGCATATGTACACAGCTCCTAAAAATTATTGGTAATAAGTATAGGAACCAAAATAATTCTGTACAAAAATCACCTTTTCCTAGACCATCCATATCGATGGGTAATTGTACTTGAAGGGCCAATTGCAAACACAATTGCGTTTTACCAACTCCACTACATCCATATATTTCTGTAATTAATCCGAGAGGTACGCCATTTTTTAATACGGCATCTATGTTGTTACAACCTGTCTTCAATCGTTTCCAAGAGTTTACAGCACTAGCTACAACATTAATAGTAGCATTCGATATTAGTCCAATGGTAAGAATACTTGCCTTTAATTATGGTGTTAGGTTTGTGGATTGTTTTTGCTATATCGAATTTGATTTTTTCCACTTCTTCTTCATTTGAATCAACGATTTTTGCTAGTTCTAAAGAATTCGTTACGAGAAATAACAGAGCTGTGTTTATGTTAGCTAAAATATTAGAAAATCAGTGTAAACTAAATATTTGAAGTTCGGATAGGATTACCTTGCTTAAGTTTTTGGTATACGTCTTGGGAAACTGCAGATTGTAAGGGAAAATCTTCCATTTTACAACATATAAATTATTTGATTTTTTGAACTAACGAAAACTAATTTTGAGGTTATATTTTGGTAAACAAACTTGAAACGTCACAATTAAAGAGAAAGTCGTTCTCCGTTTTGATTGGTCAAGCAGCTGTCATTTTTTAAAACGCCCAATAGAAATGCATATTGTTTTCTCTTTTTCGAATTGTTTCGAACTCGGGTACAAAAAACGTGTGACTGTCCTTTTTTATTACGTGGAATATAAAAGCGATAGCGATGTGAACGACAACGTGCGTTCTAGAATATTTTATCCAATGAAAAGTTGTGGCAAAACTGGAAAAAAGCCGGTAAAAAGCGAATCCCTTTATTCCCTTTAATTTTAAGGCTAACGTGTAACATGTCTGTCAGGTTTGACTTTGTTTAAAACTCCGTACTTCTTCGTCAGTTTATTTTATCAGCATTTACATTGAGTAAGTTAAAAGTTAAAACATTATTAAACATTACTTCTCCATGCTTATACTGAACTCTTTACTGAGGTTTATTCTTTTTCATTTTAACAGTTCTACAAATATACTGTCACCCAGAATTATTATTAAATCAGGATCATGTCTAGTCAGTAGTTTTTAAAAATCGACATTATATAAGAGAAAAGTATTTCTTGAATCTCATCTCTGTGCTCAAACATTAAAAAATGGAGGGCGCACTTCTAGCAACCCATGAAAGTAATGAAGTTAAAAATGGGGCTAAAAGAAAAAAACCGATACAGAATGGAATGTCCAACAAAAAACAAGAAGCAAACAAGGAAAATGCTAAAATATCACCAACAAAAAGTAATCCGAAAGGAAAGAAAACAATGTTAAAAGAGAAGAAACAAAAGGAATCCAAATTGAAAAACGGCGATCACAATATGCCAGAACTAAAAGAAAAGGAAACTTTTTCAAGAAAACTAAATCCCAGAGACCAAGAGACGCCAGAAGAGGAGGAATTAATGCAGAGAGAACTGCAACGGGTAGAGCGAAGGATGCTTAAGGAAGAGAAGTTATTGCAGAGGAAACTCAAAGAGGAGCAGAAGTTGCGAAAGGAACAAGAGATTGAGGAAAATAAGAGGCTCAAAGAGCAGCTGAAATTGCAGAAAGAACAAGAGATTGAGGAAAATAAGAGGCTCAAAGAGCAACAGAAATTGCAGAAAGAACAAGAGATTGAAGAAAATAAGCGACTCAAAGAGCAACAGAAATTGCTGATGGAAGAACAAAGATTGAAGCAAAGAGAACAAGAGAAACTTCAGAAACAACAAGAGGCCGAAGAGAAAAAGAAAGTTAGAGATGAAATGATGGAGGAGAAAAGGGCGGCTGCTTTGAAAGGGATGCAATACTTGCTGACATTGAGCAAGAAGTATTCCAATTTCCTCAGACAGAAAGTTGCGGAAGGTAAATCTAAAAGGTAAAAATAACTAGACTTTTAAATTTAATTATTAAACAATAATTAATTTTTTTAGGAAAAGTAATCAACTGAAACGAATGATTGAAGAAATTGAAGAGAATGCTGTAGGTGGCCCTGCTGAAGAAAAGCCAGGTAAATTTGGAAATACTATATGATTAACTATGCAGTACTTGATATTTTATATATTAGACCTTCCATTTTCATTTATTCCTTCTCTAGAACACAAATCAATATTTTTATTATAAGTGTATAACAAAATTATTGATGAAAGTACAAAGGTAAGGTGAGAAGTTCTCGACCCGACAATAAAAGAGCGATTTTCACTTGAAAAATTACTTTATTCTTCTTATTAAGTCAAAATCCTTAGTAGTAAACGATTCTGTAGAGTTCTAAATGGTTCTAGACAATTTATATTGTTCTGGAGCGTTCTAAATGGTTCTGAAGCGTTCTAAATGATTCTAGAGCGTTCTATATGGTTCTGTAGCGTTCTAAATGGTTCTAGACAGTTCTATAAATGATTCAGGCCGAGAACTTTTCACCCTACCCTCGTATTGGATTTTGAAATGTATATTTTTATATTAATTTTCAGAGCTCACGGATATTACTGATTCATTGGAATACTTCGAAGGAGGTCAATTGAGAGATTACCAAATCGAAGGGGTTCGCTGGCTTTACGTATGTATTTTTCCAGATGAATATTGCACAAGTAGTTTATTAAGGTTGTCCCGTGACTCGATGAACAGAGCTTTGGAGGGCATTCATTGGTTAATTTTAAGTCGAAATCGAGCCCCCATCGAGTCACGGGACACACTGTATACAAGACAAATTATTTCTCAATAAACTGTGTATGTATACTATTTATTTTAATTTTTTCGGTTATTTTTTAGCATATATTCAAAAACGGAATCAACGGAATACTTGCCGACGAAATGGGCCTTGGTAAAACCGTTCAAGTCATAGCCCTGACGAGCCTCCTGCTGCAGAAGAAAGTGTCAGGACCGTTTCTAGTCGTGGCTCCGCTATCGACTTTGCCCAATTGGAAATCGGAATTCGAACGGTTCGCGCCCAAAATCCCGGTAATATTATTTAGCGGCAATAAGATCGATAGGGATTCGTTGAAAGTAAAAGTTGCAAAAAAATATAAAATGGACAAATCGATGTCGACGCACGCCGTCATTCTAGTTGCTTACCATACTCTCCTGTCGGAAAAGAATTTTTTTTTAGATTTTCACTGGCAGTATATCATCATTGACGAAGGCCACCGGCTAAAGAACCATCAGTCCCAACTAACGATGTAAGTACAATAAATGCATACAGGGTGTTTCATAAGGAATATTTTAATCATAGTTTCAGGACCTGCAAATATTCATATTTTACTAAATATACAGGGTATGGATGTAAAAATGTATTTATGTTTTTTTTGCAATAATTTGTGCATAATTTATCTACTTAGATGGAATTTGGCGAACACAATCAACACTGCAGTGATTAAATTAAATCTAACAATTAATTAGTTGACAACTATCATTTTCATTTTAGTTTTCAAGTCTACTATGTTGAAATATGGTAAAGTAAATTAAATAGATATTGTGGGTAGAATATTTTAAATGCAAATATTTCAATATGAGCTGATTTTACGCTATTAAAATATTACTTAAGCTTATTAATTAAGCTATTGTATTTGACCCACAGTTATGTAGCGAAATATGAATATTTAGAGGTCTTGAACCTATGATTAAAATATTGACTATTCCTTATGAAACACCCTGTATAGGTATTTGTCTACCTATGGTCTTCCAAAAGTTAATGGAGTCGAGTATAAGAATCATTTGTGGAACTCTTCTCCTAGGGGTAGTTACTTCATTCGTTTAAATATCAACGTATTATGTAAAATACAGGGTGTTCTGAACATCGTGCCAACCATCAACAACACGTTGTTTAGGAACACCCTGTATAATGGGTATAATGGGTTTTTTTATAGTTTCGAAAGAAGTTCATTCCAATTTAGAAGCCATAGAAATGTAGCACTTGAAGTAATTGTGATCGTTAGACATCACGAACATTTATTAATTTTAAATTTGAATTACTACTTATTTTTCAGATTAATGAAACATTTCAATTCGACCAATAGACTTTTATTGACGGGCACTCCTATTCACAATAACATTACCGAATTGTGGTCGTTACTGAATTTCCTGATGCCCGATATCTTTTCCAACGTTGATACATTCAGCTCCCTCGTTCTTCTCGATGACATGGAGGTAAGAAAAATTCATATAATTACCTTATAAAGGCTCGTCTTAATTGAATACTAGTATAAGCTAAGTTAGATTTTCACAAACTCTTATAAAATACGCCCAATAACACGAATTTCAAATTAATTTTTTTTTAAGTTGTTTATTGGTGAGCACTCTATTCCACCGTTTTCTTTTAGAATAAAAATAAATTATTGGAGCAAGAAATGAAGACCAACATGTTCTCTACAATACACGAAGTGCTGGAGCCCTTCATTTTAAGGAGGCTCAAAAAGGATGTCCTAGATGATTTAGTTCCTAAGCAGGAAGTGATTATTTCTTGCCCGCTAACCCAATTCCAGTACGAAATCTATTCTTACGTTATCGATAGAAATATCCGCGCCTTACAGAATGTAGAAAAAAAACCAGAAGTAAGTAACTTTGCACATTACAAAAAAAATATGTAACTTTAACCTTCGTTTCAGGAACCGCTGGGTCGTTTCAGGAAAAGGCGCAAAGTAGAATATGCCGAGTTGAACGATTTAGATTTAAGCGAAGATGATATCGTCGAGGTCGATCGAGCCCTTTATAATACTATCGCTTCATACAAACAAAAGGAACGTAAAGATTTCGTAACGCGCTTGACGATGACCAACGTGATTGTAATGTTTCGAAAAATCGCCGACCATCCCTATTTAGTGCACATGCCTTTGGATCCGAACTCGAAGACCCGCCAGTTGTTGATTAACGAGGATTTGATCAATAAAAGCGGCAAAATGATCCTGTTGGACGGCATGCTTAAGAGATTGAAGGCCAACGGTCACAAAGTAATTTCGAATGCTTTAAGATGATTATTTTGATCTAAATTGTTCGTTTTTAGGTGTTGATATTTAGTACGCTGGTCATGACCTTAGATCTGATTGAAGAAATGATGCTGATTCGGGATTACACGTACAGACGGCTGGACGGCGGTCAGAGAATAGCCGAAAGGGAAGAGAATATCGACAGTTTTAACAATGATCCGGACGTGTTTGCTTTCTTGCTGTCGACCGGAGCTGGAGGGCTCGGGCTTAATTTAACCGGCGCTGACACCGTCATATTCTTCGATAGACATTGGGTGGGTAACCGGTGCTTGATCTCTCGATTTCTTTTAACCGATATGCGAATTAATCTCTTTTTTTTTTAGAATCCTCAAGTGGACATTCAAGCGCAAGATCGTTGTCATCGGATTAACCAAACGAAACCCGTCATGGTGTACACGTTAGTTAGCAGAAACACGATAGACGAGCGCATTCTTAAAACCGGAGAGAAGAAGCGATTGTTGGAGAAAGTCATCATCAGAGAGGGTCAGTTTGATCGATTGAATTTGAATATAATTATTTACTGCTTGAATTTTGTGTTTCATTGGTTTGTTTTTACGTTTTCAGGAAAGTTTCAAAGTTTGACGAGTAAAACGCAGGCGGTGCAGGTCGAAAAAGAACTGAAGGAACTGCAGGATTTGCTGAAACACGAAGGCAATCTTTCTCGGGCGATTGCCGAGTCTGTCGAGCAGCTAGACAAACTGATGGACAGATCGAAATTGTACGCCCAGATGAACCAAAAATATGTCTACAAAGTAGTTACCTGATTTTATTATTATTTGTGAAGTTTACTAGTTTCTTACATTCTTGATTTTATTAAATTTACTATTTTTGTAAATTCTTGTTTTTTTATTTCAATTTAATTGCAAGAGATTTTACATTGGTTCTACTCTACAGTTGGAGTCTGAATCTAAATAATTCAGATTCAGAAGTTTTCTCAGAAATTTCTCTCTTTACTCGTTTAAGGGTCAATTGTACACTAAATTTTAATTCGCACTGTTAAATATATTTCAGATGATAAGGGAATTTGATGATTAATTATAGTGAGCCCCCGAATACGTCCGCCGTTTAGAAATGTGAAACAGGTAATTTTCAATTTGTCATTTTGTAATTGACAATTTTAGAAAATTCCTAGATTTTGCAAACTCTATAAAAGTTCGGCAACACTGCCTACCTGCGACGTAGTAAATTATAGGTTGCGGATTTTTTCTACCCTTGTGCAGAAACTTTCTACAATCCTGCTTAGAACAAAAAATGACAGAAAATCCTGAATGTTATGGTAATATTTGAACAATAAAATAAAGATAATTTGTCAATAATGAATTTGCAATTAATAATAATAGCAATATATTTCCAACATTCCTCGGGTTTGTTCGGAAATACTCTGAAACAACTACGCGAAAAGGCCACCAGCATTTACAAAACCAAAAAGAAAGGCGTCAATTTGGATTTCATGGGCAACGCGTTGTCCGATTATCCGGGAACGAATCCAAAATATATCAAAATCAACGAAGATCTCTGGGAAGAATATTACAGCTGCCTCAAGCACCAAGAAGAGAATTTGGGCTCGTATTTATCCATGATCCCTCAAGCCATTCTGGGATTCGAAGGCTCCAGCATAAAGCTCGAATGCAGGATATGCATTAGCCCTTTGGAAAAGGAAAACAAGGAGTTGATACAGTGGGAGTGGGCCCCAATAGGTATAATTGGATTGTTAATACGTAATTAGATAAAATTGAGGCCTTAAAGGCTTCAAAATATAACTTAACATGTTTCCTTACATCAGATGCATTAAGAAGTATCTTCCTAGGCACCTCCACACCACATTAAAACGCTATTAAAACGAAAACAATATTTATTTTCCAGAAGGAAAGCATTTGGAACCGGTCGATTACAACGAAAACATAGTTATTTCTCCCAAAGACAAAACGCTGCACTTGTACAATTTAGAAACCAGCCATTCCGGGCAGTATATGTGCCTTTTAGGAGAGTCCTCAACGACACCGTATTTTCTAACGATTGTCGCCTTAAACGAAAGCGAATTCGTTCAAGTACACAGCCGGACAAATCCGACGGGACCTTATCCAAAAGATTTCGAAAATATCGATCAATACGGCTTGATTTTGGACACTGAGTGGAGCGAATGGTCGGCATGTAGTGCCTGCGATAAAGTTGGAAAGAAGCATAAAATAGGCTCGTTATATTACGTTTTTTTTGTACAGGTTTACTTCTGATGAAGGTAGTGAGCTTCAGCTTAGCTAGAAATGAGCTTCTAGTGAATGCGCTTCTAGTATTCTAGTATTCTAGAAACGAGCTTCTAGTATTCTTAATCTTCTTTAGCGAAGTCTTTAGCGATTTCCCGACTAATTTATCAGAAATTCCGGAATTTTTTTTTGCCTTTGCTTTCAGCATTTACACCAAGCTGTTGCAACACACTTTAAGATTGTACACCCCACTGCCTCATATCATATCCTTCAGCTTTTCAGCATATTTTTGAATCCCAACTTTCAGGTTACTGTACGGTTTACTCCAAAGAAAACCGAGACCTATCGGTCTCATCGAAGGTCATCGACAATCCCGTAATTGTCGACGATACTAATTACAGTACCATTGAATTAATCGAATTCACTAGTTCCTCTACAACCGATTACCCTGCAGAGGAAACCGAATCCACGAAAATCAGCGAGTCCGATTTGGAGCTCTTCACCATTTTCCAATTCGGAGTACCTTGCCAGTCCCACGTGTTGCCCCCGAGCGTCGGTGAACTACCACAAGTTCAGAACAGGAAAAACGAAATCATGTCGGGTTATTGCAGGGAGAAATGCGAGAGGAACAAAATTTTCGTGGTTAAAGATAGGCATGGGAACATCATAGAGAAGGTAAGGAAATTCGCTTCGTGGAAATTGTTTGAAATAAAGTGGTTTTTTGAGGTGAACAATTCGGAAGGGTTGTACTCGTTGAAACAGCCATTGCCACCTTTAGAGCCTCCTGTGGCCAGGACTTTGTTGTATGGAGTGAAGGGTAAAAGTATCGTTCTCTCGTGTCCGGGTAGTATGAATACTGATGCCCCGATTCATTGGCAATTGGGAGATAAGAATTTGATCCCAGAGGTCATTGCTCGAGAATCGAATAGAAGGATTGTTATTAGGTAAAAGGTCATACTGTAAATATAAATATAGTATAGTCCTTTTCAAGATATAGTAGAAAATGACTTTATAAGCTGATGAGTTTACGACTACCCGGTGCTGTTTAGGGTACACGCCGTACTCGCCGGTCGAAGGACGCAGAACCGTATTTTAAGTTTGGTACGTTCGCTGCGGCTAAGCGGCGATGCAAAACACTCATTAAATAACATTTCTTAAGTTCTTACCTGGAAATGTAAATACTGTTTACTACCCGGCCCGACCGAAGTGCTTCAACGTTCCATTGTATTGGTATTAGGAAAGTCATTACTTTATTGCTATAATCCCTAAGCTCTCACGCCTCTTTTCTACTATATCTTGAAAAGGACTATACCTCCTTAATTTACTAACATCTAGTTCTTCTAATGTTTGTATTCTTCTGAACTTGATGGTCTATTCTTCACGATTTATTACATACATTACATACATTCATTTTTTACAGTATTTTTGCATATTAGAGGTGTATTTTGGAAAAGATTGATTGGTTTATTTGTGTTTTATACTAATAATAGTTATTTTGTAGTATTACGGATAAAATTCACATCAAAGTAGCGAAAATATCGGATTCGAATATCTACAGCTGCTGGCAGAAGGAAGAATTGGCTGGGACTATAAGATTAGTGATAGAAAAAAAATTAGAATTCAACTTTAATCATACGATTATGCTTATTGGGATTTTAATAATAATGGGAGTGTTTCTAAAAATTTTTATTAAAGCTATTTTAGGGAGGAAGTACGCTAAAGTTTAATTGTAATAATTGTGTTTATTTTAAATAAAGTTTATGTATTTAACACGCAGTAATTTAGTAGTTGTATAATCTAATTGAGAAATAATAATAAATATCATAATCTCATCATAATCATACCAACACTAACAAAATGCATTATCACGGAGACTGCATTTAGGAAAAAATATATAAATAAAATCTACTGGAAATTTACTAGCGAATTGTTACTAATCAATAGTATAAAAATATGTACAAGGTACATAAATATTTTTCCTGTTTCACATTCATTATCTAGAAACCATTTTAGGTACTTTTTGCAACCTAAAGTACGTTATTTTTAAAGGACTTGTATTGATTAACTTAAGTGCTAGATAAAATTAAATTCACTTAAAACATTATAAAACCAAATTGGAAGTGTGAATAGGTTAATAATTATCGACATTCGATTCAGAACAGTTGATTAAATGACAACAATATGCTTCGGTAAGTTTTTTTTTAATTTATAGAATCATATAATATAAAATTGAGATGTCAGAACCGAAATGAGATAGAGAAAAAAATGTTGATCTACCCGCTATATTTCTGTTTTAAGTTAGGGTAATTTTGTAAAATACCAAGCTGTATGAAGGGAATCATATCCCTTCATTATAATTATAATAACGATTATTACTCAAAAAAGCTCATACAAAATATCTACGTGTGTGTCTATCTTCACAATACTGTCTTCATAATTTTAGAATTTACATTTTGGATTTTTTCAGAATATTCTTTTACTTGATAATTTTGGCAAATTTTGCGTCTTGTGCTGACCATAATCTTTTCAAAAATTGCTCAAGAGTGGAATTTTGCAGGTAAGACATTTTTCTTAAAACTAATTAATAATTAATACCATTAAGTGCAGTTAATTGCAAATTTGTACACAATATTGTCTATGGGTGCAACAAAGACAATATCCATTGGTCTCATATAAAGAAAAAAGAAAGAGATATAGTGGGATTACGACTTTCTCACTCTAACCACTATAGTTTAAATAGTCTTTCTTTGTTCAACTCGTAGAATTGACCATATTACAAACAAATTTTCACTTACCCGTATATCACGTTTATAATTTCTTTAAGAAAATGTGTTTTGTAATCCAATTTGAAAAAAAATATATCAATAATTGCTAATTGTAAACATGAGATAATTTACTATTTTTGACAAACATTATCTAGGCATCAGATATTGATTCTTAAAAATATGTTTAAATAAATAACTGCTTAAAGCAAAGTAAATATATTTTTTTTTCAAGAAAAAATAATTTATTTTCTTTTTAGGTCTTTAAGAGACCCAAAAGTGACTTCCCCATTTAAGCCCCAATTATCTAAACTGACCGTTAACAATGATAAAACAACGGTTATTGTACCAATATCAAACAGCGACAATCAAACTTTCAATGTGTACATCAATCTTCTGAGAAATCACACTGTTAGAATGAAGATTTTGGAAACTGAAAGCGCCAGATACGAGTTAAAGGATGTACTGGATAAGGAACCAACGAAATTGAAGTACCTAAACAAATTATTTTTCCACAATATAATAATAATTTAATTATTCTAGGGTCGTTTTAAATAAAACGATGTATGAAAATGGCTCAGTTACCATCTTACCAGACGGCTCGAAATACTCTCACAGCGTTAACATAAATCCGGATCCCTTTCAGATAAAATTTTTCTATGACGACGGAATGCTGGAGAGCGTCTTCCACGGAGAAGAATTGATTTTTCAAAAAGTAAGTTTAACAAACAAGAAAATTAAATCCTATAATATAAATTGCAACTGTACAGGACACGCAAGCATTCGTATTCCGCTTCCAATTTACTGATGCTACCACCTTACACGGTCTTCACCACCACACTTTAGGCTTGGATTTACCCGACACCAAAGCAAGTAAAATGGACCCGATCCGATTAAGGAATTCCGATATCGCTGGTTACGAACCAAACTCTCCAATGGCAATGTACGGAGCCGTGCCTTTGGTGTACGGTCACACGTAAGTAACACATTTAGTACTCACTTTATTCTCTTTTATTAAATATTGAAGCAACAATGAAGAAAAGAAGTACGAGAGATACTCAGTTTTTGGCTTAATAATTGAATAGAATCTTCATATTTTTAGCGGTGTGTACACTTCTGGAGCATTTCTGCACAATGCCGCCGAGCAATGGGTAGATATAATTCACGATGCGGACTCATCTTCAGCCAGGTTCATGGTTGAAAGGGGAGCTTTGGACTTGTTTGTTTTGCTGGGAAATACAGCGAAAGAAACTGTCCGACAATTCGTTGAGCTGACCGGTCGAGCGCATATGCCACAGGTAAAATTTCATTTCAAAAGGTTGGCGGCAAATAGTTTATATTTTGTACGGAATTTTGTAGTTGTGGACGTTAGGATATCACCAATGCCGTTGGTCGTACGAAACGCAAGAGGATGCTAAAGATGTGGTCGCCCAAATGGACGCCCATGAGTTTCCCATGGACGCCATTTGGTTGGATATCGACTACACCGATGGATACAGGTATTTCACATGGAATCCGGTGAATTTCTCCGATCCCATAGAGTTCCAGAAAAACATATCGTCTACGAACAGGAAACTGGTTACGATCCTGGACCCGCACATTAAAAAAGATCCCAATTACTCCGTATACGCCGGCGCCAAAGGGAAATATTTCGTTAAGTTTGCAAATGGAAGCGATTTTGAGGGTAAGTAAAGGAATTCTCTCATACGCTCAGATAACTGCGCATATACTTTCCTCAAATCTCCATGATAACCTCTAGAAATGTCGAGGTAATATTTTTTATGCATACATTAGGAGTTTGCTGGCCCGGAGAATCCAGTTACTTGGACTTCCTTGATCCCAAAGCTCGAGACTACTACGCCAGCTGGTACTCATATGAGAAATTCAATGGAAGTACACCAGTATTAGCAGGAGTTTGGAACGATATGAACGAACCTTCTGTATTCGATGACTCTCTGGAGAAAACTATGCCCTTCGATGATGCTGTCCATTACGGAAACGTCGCACATGGAAACATTCACAATATCTACGGATTTCTTCAGGTAATAATTACTAATTTTCGTCGCGAAAGGTAGGATTAATAAATTTGTCCAACGTAAGTAGGAACTTCCATTCCCACTAGGTAGTCCAATATATATTCTACTACTACTAATGATAATACTACCTATATATTCACTTGTAGTACCAATATTTGTACTTTCATTGGCGATTTTTTGCACCAAACTTTCAACTCTCATCTCACTACTTACATCTATTCGAACAACACCAAATTTAATCCTAAAGAAGCTACGTTCTATTCCAGACCAAAGCCACCCATCAAGGTCTCATGGAACGCGACAACAACACCAAAAGACCTTTTATTTTGACCCGTTCCCATTTCGCTGGGTCCCAGCGGTACGCGGCCATGTGGACTGGAGACAACACGGCCGATTGGCCTTACCTGCGTACCAGCTACTCGGAGTGTATGCTCTCCAACATAGTGGGTATGGTGTTCTGCGGCGCTGACGTCGGCGGGTTCTTCAACGATCCGGACACGGAGTTGCTGCAGAGGTGGTACCAGGTGAGCTGGATTTTTTAGATGCAATTCAGTATTTACATTAGTTGTTGGTCTTTTCAGGCTGGTATTTGGTTGCCTTTTTACAGAGGGCATGCTAACAAGGAGACGAAGCGAAGGGAACCTTATTTGTTTGGTAATGATGTCCAGGAGGTCATAAGAACTGCTATTAAAACGAGATACAAGCATTTGCCTGTTTGGTATACGTTGTTCTACGAACACACTAGGTATGGGGATCCGATCATTAGGCCTCTGTTTTATGAATACCCTGGCTTGGTGAATAAAGATGATCATATTTTGTTAGGTAAATGTAATATGTATTGGCTAATTGATAATATCTTATCCTAAATCTTAAGTAAAAGGTTTAAAAAATAATTTTGCTAATTTTAATATTTTTAGGTACTGATATTTTGGCAAGACCCGTTTTGGAAAATGGAACAAATAGTGTAAATATCCATTTCCCAGGAGATTCATCGACTTTCTGGTACAGGATGGATGATCATTCTGCCAAAATATATAAAGGAAACGATGACGTGACATTACCAGTCAATATTACAACGGTAGATAATCTTTTCTCTTTGCTCACTATACAGGAGTGTCACACGAGTCTAGGCTTATTTATTCCTTAAGCAATTCTAAAATAATTGTTTTTCTATTTTATTTTTCAGTCGCCATATTTCTACAGAGCAGGCAGTATAATAGTAAGGAAAGACCTCGAACGCAAATCAAGTACTGATATGATTGATGATCCCGTAACTCTTTACATTAATTTGGATTCCGTAAGTTTTTATTTTTTTCATTCTTACACATTAGTTTTGGATTAATTATATCACTATTTTCAGTCCCATAAAGCTACTGGAAGGATGTACGTGGACGATTACACCAGTTTCAACTATCAAGACAAAAAGCATTTTTACTATTTGAATATTGAATATATTTCACAAACGGGCGGATTAGTGTTTAAGTAAGTATTTTTTATATTATATTCTACGAAAAATATTCATTAAAAATACTTGCATTTGTCACAAATTTATTATTTATTTAAATTAGAACTAGTTTCGGTTTACACGATCATCTTCAGGTCTAGAACTCATATAATTTTCATAAAATCCTAGTACCTTAAAAATCAAATTGCTGTATCTCATAGAATAATTTATATGTAATTATTTTAATTTTGTTTTTAGGCAAATTGATGGAAATGCTACCGGTTTCGATGTAGAAATTAGTCATGTAATTGTTCAAGCCAAAAACTCAGGTGGGTAATGCTGGCTGGATTTATCTTATTAATAGTATTACTATATTTGAAATTATTTCTTAAAAAAGGATTTTTCTAAATTTAAATTTCTTTTTAGATGAAAATACATTTACAAGGACCGAATACACAACTCTTGCTAATGGTGAACGACTCTCCAACTTCAAAATTACGCCCCATCTTAATGAAAAGAAAGAAGTATTTTATCATTTAAAGGATACACCTCGTATTACTGATTACGTTTTAAATCAGTAAATAATATTAATATTTTTATTATTGTTTTACTTTATTCTTGCTTTCGACTAAATTAAATGTTTGTCTAGTAAATAAAAATATGAAAAAATGTTTTACATTCATTATCTAGAAACCATTTTAAGTATTTTTTGCAATCTAAAGTAAGTAATTTTCAAAGGACTTGCATTGATTAACTTAAATTCTAGATAAAAATAGATATATTCACTTACCTAAAACATTATAAAACCAAATTGGAAGTGTTAATAGGTTAATAATGATCGATATTCGGTTCAGAATAGTTGACTAAATGAAAACAATATGCTTCGGTAAGAATTTTATCATATATTTAATATCAATTTTGTAAAATACCAAGATGTATGAAGGGATATAATTATCCCTCCCTTAATTATATATCTCTACCCTTTGATATTACATCTTGGATATTATTTATACTTAATCCCTATTATTATTTTTAATAACCATATTTATATAATACAGGGTGTCCCAATGAAAAGTAGCCCCTTTAATGAGCTTGTAATTTGTAAACGAATAATCGTAAAAACATGCGGTTTTCTCAGATATGTTTTATTTTATTATAAGTTTTGTTACAGTGATACAGAAATTATGCATTACCAACACAGGGTGTTTTATCAAAATCTCCTGTTTTAAATACACAGTAACCTTTTTTTTTAATGGAACACCCTGTATATGTAGAGATATTTTGAAAGATATGCTCTTCTACTTTTTAAAAATGTGTTATTTGTACATGTTATTGTACAAAAGAAGATGTCCTATATCATAGCATTTAGTTGATGTAAATTTAAAAGAGGGGGATTTTTGAAACACCCTGTACAGACGATACAAAATTTTTGTGTCACTGTAACAAAAAGTTATAGCAAAATAAGATATATCTGCGAAAACCGCATGTTTTTACGATTAGGCGTTTAAAAATTATTAGCTCATTAAAAGGGCTACTTTTCATTGGGACACCCTGTATATAAAAAATAATTTTTCTATTGAACACACGATTTTTACTCAAAAAACCCATACAAAATATCTATGTGTCTATCTTTCCAATACTGACTTCATAATTTTAGAATTGATTTAAATACATTTACATTGTAGATTTTTTTTCAGAATATTCGTTTATTTGATATTTTTGGCAAATTTTGCGTTTTGTGCTGACCATTATGTCTTCAAAAATTGCTCAAGAGTTGAATTTTGCAGGTAAGACCTTTTGTTAAAACTGTAATACCATTAAGTGTAAAATTTGCTGTTACCCGTATATCACGTTTAATTCCTTATATTGGCATAGTTGAAGTCAATCTCTATTTATTTGCATTAATATAAAATTAGAGAGCTTCATTAGCATGCCACCCTTTAGTTTAGTATGTTCCTACAGTAGAATAAAAATATTAGGAATTTTAAGGGATAATAAAAAATATTGGGTTATTATGGAAACTAGAAAATTTTAAATGAGGAGTTTGTTTTTCAAAATTAATTTTCTTAGAACAAATGTAAAAATGTGTTTTGTAATCCAATTTGAAAAAAAATTATCAATATTTGCTAATTGTAAACATGAGATAATTTACTATTTTTGACAAAAATTATCTAGGCACCAGATATTGATTCTCAAAAATATTTTTCAATAAATAACTACTTGAAGCAATTTTTTTTAGAAAAATTATTAATATAGAGATTTATTTTCTTTTTAGTTCCTTAAGAGAGGCAAGAGCTAGCTCTTCATTTAAGCCTCAGTTATCTAAACTGACCGTTAACAATGATAAAACAACCGTTATTGTACCAATATCAAACAGCGACCATCAAACTTTCAATGTGTACATCAATCTTCTGAGAAATCACACTGTTAGAATGAAGATTTTGGAAACTAAAAGCACCAGATACGAGTTAAAGGACGTACTGGATAAGGAACCAACGAAATTGAAGTACATAAACAAATTAATTTGCCACAATATAATAATTTAATTATTCTAGGGTCGTTTTAAATAAAACGATGTATGAAAATGGCTCAGTTACCATCTTACCAGACGACTCGAAATACTCTCACAGCGTTAACATAAATCCGGATCCCTTTCAGATAAAATTTTTCTATGACGACGGAATGCTGGAGAGCGTCTTCCACGGAGAAGAATTGATTTTTCAAAAAGTAAGCTTAACGAACAAGAAAATTAAATCCTATAATATAAATTGCAACTGTACAGGACACGCAAGCATTCGTATTCCGCTTCCAATTTACTGATGCTACCACCTTACACGGTCTTCACCATCACACTTTAGGCTTGGATTTACCCGACACCAAAGCAAGCAAAATGGACCCGATCCGATTAAGGAACTCCGATATCGGTGGTTATGAACCAAACTCTCCAATGGCAATGTACGGAGCCGTGCCTTTGGTTTACGGTCACACGTAAGTAACACATTTAGTACACACTTCATTCTCTTTTATTAAATATTGATGCAACAATGAAGAAAAGAAGTACGAGAGATATTCAGTTTTTGGCTTAAAAATTGAATGAAATCTTCATATGTTTAGCGGTGTGTACACTTCTGGAGTATTTCTGCACAATGCCGCCGAGCAATGGGTAGATATAATTCACGACGCGGACTCATCTTCAGCCAGGTTCATGGTTGAAAGGGGAGCTTTGGACTTGTTCGTTTTGCTGGGAAATACAGCGAAAGAAACTGTCCGACAATTCGTTGAGCTGACCGGTCGAGCGCATATGCCTCAGGTAAAATTTCATTTCAAAAGGTTGGCGGCAAATAGTTTATATTTTGTACGGAATTTTGTAGTTGTGGACGTTAGGATATCACCAATGCCGTTATTCGTACGAAACGCAAGAGGATGCTAAAGATGTGGTCGCCCAAATGGACGCCTATAAGTTTCCCATGGACGCCATTTGGTTGGATATCGACTATACCGATGGATACAGGTATTTCACATGGAATCCGGTGAATTTCTCCGATCCCATAGGGTTCCAGAAAAACATATCATCTACGAACAGGAAACTGGTTACGATCCTGGACCCGCACATTAAAAAAGATCCCGATTACCCCGTATACGCCGGCGCCAAAGGAAAATATTTCGTTAAGTTTGCGAATGGAAGCGATTATGAGGGTAGGTAAAGGAATTCTCTTATTCGCTCACATTTCCGTGATAACCTCTAGAAATGTCGTGGTAATATTTTCTATGTATACATTAGGAGTTTGTTGGCCCGGAGAATCCAGTTACTTTGACTTCCTTGATCCTGAAGCTCGAGACTACTACGCCAGCTGGCACTCATACGAGAAATTCAATGGAAGTACACCAGTATTAGCCGGCGTTTGGAACGATATGAACGAACCTGCTGTATTCGATGACACCACGGAGAAAACCATGCCCTTCGATGATGCTGTCCATTACGGAAACGTCGCACACGGAAACATTCATAATATCTACGGGTTTCTTCAGGTAATAATTTTACCAATATTGGCGGTAAAAGTTAGAATAAATAAATTTGTTCAAACTTAGGTAGGTACTTCCATTCCCGCTAGGTCTCTATGTAGTCTAATATATTCCCGCTAATACCACCAATATGTTAGTAGTATTAGAAGTACTATTAGTAGTACCAATATTTGTACTTTCATTAGCGATTTTTTGAACCAAACTTAACTCCCATCTCACTACTTACAACTATTCGAACAACACCTAATTGAATCCTAAAGAAGGCACGTTCTATTTCAGACCAAAGCCACCCATCAAGGTCTCATGAACCGAGACAACACCAAAAGACCCTTCATTTTGACCCGTTCCCATTTCGCTGGGTCCCAGCGGTACGCGGCCATGTGGACGGGAGACAACACAGCCGATTGGCCTTACCTGCGTACCAGCTACTCGGAGTGCATGCTCTCCAACATAGTGGGCATGGTGTTCTGCGGCGCCGACATCGGCGGGTTCTTCAACGATCCGGAACCGGAGTTGCTGCAGAGGTGGTACCAGGTGAGCTGGATTTTTTAGATGCAAATCAGTATTTACGTTGGTTGTTGGTCTTTTCAGGCTGGTATTTGGTTGCCGTTTTACAGAGGGCATGCTAACAAGGACACGAAGCGAAGGGAACCTTATTTGTTTGGTAATGACGTCCAGGAGGTCATAAGAACGGCTATTAAAACGAGGTACAAGCATTTGCCTGTTTTGTATACGTTGTTCTATGAGCACACTAGGTATGGGGATCCGATCGTTAGGCCTCTGTTTTATGAATACCCTGGGTTGGTGAATAAAGATGATCATATTTTGTTAGGTAAATATAATATGTATTGTCTAATTGATAAAGTCATATCTTTAACTCTAAGTAAACGGTTTAATGAACAATTTTAGAATTTAATACTAATTTTATCATTTTTAGGTACTGATATTTTGGCAAGACCCGTTTTGGAAAATGGAACAAATAGTGTAAATATCCATTTCCCAGGAGATTCATCGACTTTCTGGTACAGGATGGATGATCATTCTGCCAAAATATATAAAGGAAACGATGACGTGACATTACCAGTCAATATTACAACGGTAGATAATCTTTTCTGTTTGATCACTATACAGGAGTGTCACACGAGTCTAGGCTTATTTATTCCTTAAGCAATTCTAAAATAATTGTTTTTCTATTTTATTTTTCAGTCGCCATATTTCTACAGAGCAGGCAGTATAATAGTAAGGAAAGATCTCGAACGCAAATCAACTACTGATATGATTGATGATCCCGTAACTCTTTACATTAATTTGGATTCCGTAAGTCTTTATTTTTTTTTTTCATTCTTACACATTAGTTTCGGATTAATTATATCACTATTTTCAGTCCCATAAAGCTACTGGAAGGATGTACGTGGACGATTACACCAGTTTCAACTATCAAGACAAAAAGCATTATTACTATTTGAAAATTGAATATATTCCACAAACGGGCCGAATAGTGTTTAAGTAAGTATTTTTTATAATATATTTTAGGAAAAATATTAGTTAAAAATACTTGCATTTGTCACAAATTTATTATTTATTTAAATTACAACTAGTTTCGTTTTACACGATCATCTTCAGGTCTAGAATTTATATAATTTTTATAAAATCCTCGTACCCTAAAAATTAAATTGCTGTACCTCATACAATTTTGTTTTTAGGCAAATTGATGGAAATGCTGCCGGTTTCGAAGTAGAAATTAGTCATGTAATTGTTCAAGCCAAAAACTCAGGTGGGTAATGCTGGTTGGATTTTTCCTGTGTATTACTAAGAGATTTTATCATCGGTATCTCAAAAATAATAATTACTGTCAAAATGAACCTGGCGGTTCCATTTTAGTGACCTGTTATTTACAGATCGGCCACAACATTTTTTTATTAGGTTTTTTTTTATTTTAACTTTATTATTTCATTGAGGTAGAATATTACCTGCTATCTGCTATTCAAAAACAATATTAAATCGTTAACATACAAATTTGTATGTAGAACCTTTTTTGTTCTCGATTTATTTTCGTTCAAATTTGGCGTTCGGGTTTTCCAAGAAACGTGTCAATAAATCTGTGTTTATTATAATGAAATTTCTTTTTAGATGAAAATACATTTACGAGGACCGAATACACAACTCATGCTAATGGTGAACGACTCTCCAACTTTAAAATTACGCCCCATCTTAATAAAAAGAAAAAAGTTTTTTGTAATTTAAAGAATACACCTCGTAATACTGATTACGTTTTATATCTGTAAATAATAATAATTTGTTTATTATTGTTTTACTTTATTCTTGCTTGTGACCACATTAAATGTTTGTGTAGTAAATAAATATAAAGAAAAAATGAATTTAGTATTTTATTATAGAGTACCTATATTTATTTTTTGATAATGATCAAGATGCATATATGAACCGATCAAATTTATATAAATTTTACTTCTTTTTATTCAATACATGTTAAATTTTATTAAATATGTCACCCTTTAAATCTCACCCTTCAAATTGTATGTACAATCTATACAATTTTTATGCAATACTTTTCCAAATTAAATATATTACTTGATAAACAAACATTATAGTAATAAATAGATAGATAGGACTCATTAAAATTTACATACATACATGTCCCGTGAGTAGTCCGAGTACTTTACTCAGTACTTTACTCAAAGATTGATTATTTCAAAAACCACTGGATTTAGGTATAGGGAATGCCCATATGGATCGAAAGGGAATAAGAATCTCCATATTCCACAAAAATGATACTTTCCATTTAAAATAACTTAGTTGACAGTTACTTCCGGTATAACCAGAAGTCACATATGTTTGAAGATATTTTAGGAAAACTCACAACATTGATTATCCTTTAATCCTAAATTTTCAGATTTCTAACTCTTCAGGATCTCCTATAACTTCTAATGGACGGTTTCCTTGAAAAGCACTGTACCTACTTGATAAACATACATTATAGTAATTAACAGATAGGTTGGTACTCATTAAAATTTCATTTAATTTTTAAATTATTCATAATTACAAAACTATTTGAAGAGAAATAAATACGCACTAGGCGTCGAATATAAAAAATATTGGAAAATATAGGAAAGTTTGCCGTTTTATATGTAAAATATTTCCACAAACATCTTTAATTTATATCTTTAAATACCAATTAATTATTGCGAGGGCAAGTAAATAACTTTATTGACAAGATTATATATACATCTACTAATTAATTCTTTGAGAGAAAAATGTAAAGCCACGCCACTGTTTGTAGGGCGCACTTATTGCATAATAATTTCCAAGCTTTATCATAAACAGAACAAAATTTAATGTTAAATATTGCATGCACGTTGTTAATATAAATACATTTAAATAAAACGTAAAAATACATAACAATGTCGTTCGGATAATCTTATTATGTAGGAAGTTCTATAGGCAATAGATTTTATCATTCCATTTTTAGTAATATGTAGAATATCAGTCTTTTGAAAATGGCCTTTTGAAAAAAAACGTAAACATAAACATACTTTGAATGCTAAATCGTGTTAGTATTTAATATAGGAAATCAACATAATTCACTGAAAGAAGCCACGTCGCGTATGGTAAACAAATCGCCGCTTATAAAGGTCGTTACTTGGCAAGAAAACATATAAATTTACTAATTAGACTTGAGTTATGCTAATGTGAAACATTTTCTCGTCTCGCAAATGAAAACTTCCACATTACTCGCAATTCGCATTAAAAATTATGAACAGGAAGGATTTTAACGATTACTCATTTTCATTAAAACGCTCAAATACGATTTGAATAAAATGTAAGTACACTTTACCGCGTTTTAAATACAATGTACTTCTCGAAACCGACTACCTACCCTCCATTAATCTACCTCATTTCCAGCCCATTACATTTAATTAAAATTAAATAGGAATAATTACTTCAGACTTCAGACACATTAGTACTTACTATTGCAGTAAAAATATTCAGAAAACTTGAGGTACACTAAAACAGACATTCGAAAATTGTTTACGATTCCGCAATTCCCATCATTACTTCTGACTAACAGTTGAATTCATTTAATTGTTCTATTTTAGTTATGTTTTCTCGAACATAACGAAAATATTTTAAATTCAGTAAATCCACCTTGGCAGTGCCGAGGTCGTCAGAAGGAAAGTCATTGTACCAGGTTCATAAATTAAACTAATTAAATGTTACAAATTGTATATTTAAAGCTTTGCCTTTGGCCTAACTTTATTTTTAAAGCTTCTCTATGAGTATTTTTTGAGAATTCCTCATGAACTTGTATTACAATATCTCCTTTGAGGGTGGCCTCTGAGATGAGTCCTTCTCAAGGACAAACTTTCTAAGTTATCCTGAATTATGAGTCTCTTTTGTAAGAAAATTTTTAATTAGGTAGCTCTACATTTCGTTATTTTATCACGATTATTTTTGCACATTAACTGTACCCAGCTTTAGTGCCTATGACATTTACAGTAGCTGTCAAGGTAATTAGTTAATATATTAATTTAATGTGCAATTTATTTTTAATACCCATGTATATTTTATATTCCACAACATTGTATATCTACCTGTACGCCGTAGCTACGCCACTGATTTCGATATCGTAACTGAGCACCGTTTGCATTTCCACCACTCTAGAAACATTTAAACAATTCAAAATAACAACAATTTCTTGAACTGTAGTTGCGCGAAAACTGCCTGCCGACGAAAATCGGAATTTCGAAAAGTGCTACAATGAGTAGCCGGTGCAGGGGAGAAATTCTCCTGTGTTTGTTGTTGATGATAGGGGGTAGTTTGGGGCGAGAAAAGAGAGTTTTGGAAAATGCCACTATTCCTAGCGGTGGCAAAAGCGATGGAAACGCAATGTCGGCGATTCAGCGAAGTGAGGCAATTTATCGAACAGGTAAAGAATAATTTATTTGATTAATTTTATGTCGATTTAACAAAAATAGAGCAAGTGACACATTCTTTTAAGTGCGTTTAAAACAAAAATAAATTTTATTCTACTTCTGTTTTGATCATTATTTGCATTATTTTTACCTATCTTACGAATTTTATTGTTTAACGCAATTTTGATATTTTATTTGCAAATTTTTAAGTGTGGGTTTGGTAGAATGTTCATTAATTCTACCACCTTCTATTTTACCTTATTCTACCATAAATATTTGTATTGCACAGAATGACAAAATTATCAGGAAGTGTTTAAAAATCCATTAGAATTTAATTAAACTAATATGATGATTAATTAGTCGTTTTCTAATGGAAGGTTTCTTTATGAATTGTTTTCAAAAAATTTAAAATTCACTTTGTTTTTTTAAGGGAAATAACATTTAGAATTACTTGTACAATCATTTTATGACTCCTTCAATTATCATCATATTTGCCGATTTCTTACCTATAAGTAATTAAAAATTTATTACCGAAAAGTTTAATAGAAACAAATCAATTCATTATTAGAAAGTTTGTGGACAATACTACGTAAAATAAATATAAATAAAAGTTCCAAAGCAAACATGCCTATATTGTAGTTCACAAATAAAACACATTTAAAACAATAAAAACCATAAATTTTGCAATCCGAATGTAATTATTTTTAGAATTTAACGAACCCACGCACGTTTTTAATTACATCGTCAATAAATTAATATTTTCAATTACAAAAACAATAATTTGAATTCAACTAAATTAATATAGTTAACGTTAAAAATTCGGCACCTATACTCAGACATCCTCAATAATTAATTAAACACTTTAAATAATTCTACATGTTTCAGTCGATACCAATTTGAATTCCACTTACTACTTTACACAAAACGAAGATGACGATAATGATGACATTGATTTACCAATATTAGACGACGAGCCTTTAAATAATTCGAATTTTCCTAACAGTCTAGAAGCCATTCGAAGAGCCATGCAAAAGATTAACAATACCGAATGCATTAATGATACTACTAATGTATTATGGGCTATTTCGAGAAGGGAAAAATGGGCTCTTGAATGTAAGTGTTAAAAAACTGTTTGATCTTCATTGTATAAATCCTATACTTTCCATAAAAAACATGCGTTTTTTTCGTCCTAATTCCTAATTGATTAGCCATTTCCCAAACTTTTGTCCATTTCTATTTATTTTTTTTTTAGTATTGGATTCGTTTCCGAAATTCCCTGAAAGTATTTTATACGGGAATTACTACCAATTAGGAAATTTCGACGAGTGCGTCGGCGCCAGATCATACAATAACGACATACAGGGACAATATTGTTTAGCCGACATACGATTTATGAGAAAACACGAAAATAAAATCCAAACGAAACGGTCCGTCAGAAACATGGCCGAAGAGGTATTTCAACATTTTTTTCACTAATCTGACGTTCTTTAACAACAGTTTTTCGTAGAAAAATCGAGGCGTATTCGACAACAACATCATCCACTGGGCCATATGTTTACCCTCATCCTGCCGCTCGCAAGACTCCGAGATTTTCATCGACGAAATCTTCCAATCCTCCGTCAGACATTACCACATACAATCCGTCGATATCGACCCGAAGCAATGCGATTTTAACAAGAAATTACCCTTCACCACCAGCGAGATTATCTACGGGTAAACTACTTCCTCTCGTACTCCAGTAACACAACCTCGCGAAGTGAACCAGACCTCCATTACAATATCAAATTATCCTTTTCCAGATCCGCAGTCGGTATCTTCCTAATGTTCACCCTGCTAGCCACGGCTACTCACGTGTGGCACTTGAAGAAGATCAGAAAATCCGCCATGTACAACGTGGATGATTTGAGGGAGAAGCAATCGAACATCGTCAAGGAGACTCTTATATGTTTCTCCGTCATAAATACGACCGAGCGGTTTTTCCACACGAAACCCAACGATCTCAATCTGGAAGCCATCTGCGGCGTCAAGTTCATTTCCATGGTGACCATCGTTGCCGGCCATTCGCTCATCTTCTTCTTCGGAGGGCCCATGGCGAATAAGAACTTTTTCGCAGAGGTACTTACAATTACAATTACAATGCAATAGGTATTACAGCCGTAAATTCCAGTAGATTCCAGTAGATTTCAGTAGACTTGCAATATGTATTATTGCAGTAGATTCAGTAGATTCCAGTAGATTTCAGTCGATTTGCAAAAGATATGATTTCAGAAGACTCCAGTAGATTCCAGTAAAATCAACTAGATTTGCCGTGGCTAATATTACAGTAGATCCAGTGATTCCAGTAAATTCCAGTAGATTCCAGTAGATTCCAGTAGATTCCAGTAAAATCCACTGGATTTGCCATAGCTATTTTTGCAGTAGATTCAGTGATTCCAATAAATTCCAGTAAATTCCAGTAGATTCCAATAAATTTTAGTAGAATCCATTAAAATCCAATAGATTTGCCATAGGTACCATTTATTGAAGTAGGTCCAGTATATCCGGACAAATTAATTTCCACTAATTAGAGCAGTTGTCAGTACCATGTTTTTGTTTTCAGGCGGTGATGAAAGCAGAAAATGCAATTTTTATCAACAGCCCCATAATAGTAGACACATTTCTACTCCTCAGCGGCTTTTTGATGTGCAGACTCCTGCTGATAGAAATGGACAAACGCAGGGGAAGAATCAATTTCATGGTTTTGTTCATTGCCAGATACATCAGGTAAAACAATGAGTAACTTACAGTGGCTGTTATAGCGTTTAAAATTTCTCCATTGCAGGCTGACTCCGGCTTATGCTGTAGTATTGGGCATGCACACCACGTTGCTCTATCGCATGGGATCGGGTCCCTTTTGGGAGAGCAGGATCGGGGTAGAGAAAGAAAGATGCGAGAAATCGTGGTGGTTGAATTTGCTGTACGTTAATAATTACATCGGAACCGATAATTTGGTATGAACTTTCCATTTACTTGAACTAACAGCAAACATGTAAATTTATTTATTTAAGTGTATGTTCCAATCGTGGTACTTAGCAGTGGATTATCACCTATTCATACTGGCGCCTATTATAATTTATCCTCTGTGGAAAAGGCCTAAATTGGGAGAAACGATGCTGCTTTTGTGTACGATAGCTTCAGTGGTACTGCCATTTTGGATTACACTTAAAGAGAAGCTCGATCCCACGGTTATGGCGTACCCTCCGTAAGTGATCTTGTTTAAAATATTCTGTTTCTTGGTTGTTTATTAATTTACTCCCAGATTCGAGAGTTAGGTGATGAAATTTAGGAATAAGTGCAGATGCTAATCCTTCATGTACTAGCATTTTGGATTTGAGGAATAATTACTATTATCCAGCGGTAGCTAAAACAGAAGTACTGATCTCAAAACTTGGAATGAACGTCTTTAATCATAAAAATACAAGAGTATTACAGCTATTTGCTATTTTAAAAATTTTGGTTTTTAGGGAAGTTGGCGATATTGCGACGAATTTCTATTTCGCTAACTATTACATCAAAACCCACATGCGGATAAGCTCGTATTGCATTGGATTATTTTACGCGTACCTCGTGCACAAGATACAAGGATCGATGTGAGTACCGAATCTTCTTTTCTATAAAATATTTCTTAAACAATTTATTTTGTATAGGTACAAATCCTTTGTTTTTAGGACAAAAATACCTACGTACGTAATAGTGGCGGGCTGGATTTTCGCGATAATTTGCGGCATAGGTTCAATGTATTCTATAATAATTTTTTACAATCCCGAGCACACTGTAAATATTGTAGCGAACGCTTTGTATGCCTCATTGCATAGAGTTACTTGGTCTCTAGCTGTAGGTTGGGTACTTTTCGTTTGCATTACGGATAACGCAAGTAAGAATTCACAATTTTTTTATTAAAACGTCAATTATACCGATTTATTGTAGGTATTATAAACAAATTTCTATCGTCCAAATTCTTCATACCTGCGAGTAGATTGACTTATTGCGCTTATTTAGCCAATGGTTTGGTGGAGATTTACAGTGCTGGTGTACTCAGACAACCCACTCAAATGAGCGTATACGAACTGGTAAGCAAATACATTTATTCTTAAGAATATTTGTTGATCAGAATTTGTTTTAGATTTGCAAAACTAGCGGACACATCATCATAACATTCCTTCTGGCGTTCTTCCTTTGCATATTGTTCGAATCGCCGATACACGGAATGGAGAAGATTCTTCTTAAAAATTTGGACAAGAGGAAAAAACAGGAGGAGGACAAGACGAGAAATTCGGTTCTTTCGGTTGCCGAATTATGAAATTACAGTTGCACAAATGCACATCAAAAATGCAATGTTATTCTCATTAATTATTTGCCAGCCCACTCCTAGATTCTATATTTGGATGATGGTTTATCATTTTTGATGAAAGTTTGTGCAACTGGATAGTTAAATAATGCCTAATGTAGCCAAGACAAGTTGATATCAAGACAATTAATTTGATTGTATAGATGAAATTGTATTATATTTATTTACTATATTTAATAATGCTATTTGCTAAATAAGGATTAGTTTTTTAATATACCTACACAAATTGTAATAAAAAGTAATAAAAAAAGTCGTTTTATTGTTCATTGGATAAATTGAATAATTGCGTGAATTGGTATGTCCAATTTTGTATAGGGCGCATTAACAATTTAATCAAAATTAAATAAACAAAATGAATTAATCGGATAATTCGAAATCGGAAAAACTGTCATCTTTCACTGTACTCTTTTCTTCCTTATGTTCTTCGACATCAAAAAGCACCTTCTTCTTCACGTGCGTTCCCTCTGCAGCGGCGGTTTTAATCGAGCTTTTCGTTTCCAGAACATTCTGCTCCTTCTTGTCGTCCTTATCGCTCGGAAGACCGGCGGAATTTACGTCAGAATCGGTATTCTGCGATTTGTTGCTGGAAAACTTGGATTGCAGCTCCTCGATGACTGCATTGTGGACTTTCTTCTGGTCGAAATTCTTCGGCAAGTACGATTTCATGTCCGTTTCGCTTTCCGTGTCGTAGAGGGAACGATTTTTAATCGTTATGGCGGAATCTGGTTTTGATCTAAATTTTAAAAAATTTAAATTTGGGTGTTTGTTCAAAAATGTTATTACTTACTCGGATTCTAATGGATCAGATTTATGTATTTGTAATTTTACCACATTTCGTTTTGCTTCCTTTGATTTATGTGGACTTTTATTACTAGGTAAATATTGCCTTTTCTTCCTCGTCTTTTTTATTTCCTTACTAGATTTTAGTGATTTTTCAATATCTTGTCTTAACGCATCGTAATTAGGATGATTCTGGTGGAAATAAAATCTAATAGTATCAAAAAGGAAATTACTACGAAATTTATGAATACCTTTTTAGACAGAAACGATTGATGTTTTACAACTTCCATTCCCCTTTCGAAGGTTTTCTTTGGTATACCCTTCCATAATGGACTTATGCCCATTTCTTGTAGACCTAGGCTAATAGATTCATTAAGTTTGGTTTTTAATTTTTCTATTTCTTTGACCGTATCATCTTTTTTAACTGTTTTAGCAAGCGGAGTTCTTTTTAAAATCGAGCTCTTCACTTGCCTAATTTTAGAAATCGTTGAAGTTGCTAAATTTTTATCTTCCACAGATTTATTTCCGCTTCTTGAGAGAGAATCTGAAAAACATTGTTTAATATTACTGTAATGCACAAAAACTTGTTGAAATGTTCACCTTTTTGTTTTACCAAAGTTACAACATTGCTAGGTTTGCTGAGGTTATCATACTCAGAAACCACAGACTCCTCGAACTCTTCTTCATCGGAGATATCATCTTCAGTGGTAGACTCGTACATGTTACTAACTGCCGATTTAACAACAGTAGGCTTCGATTCGAATTTGACGGGGGATTTAACTTCTTCGGATGGCGATGGAGATTGAGATTCGACATTTTCAGCCAAAAATTTATCCAATTCTTGCTTGACCATCTTGGCATTTCTCGACGAGTTTTCCGGGCTATTAGACGTTTGTTTGGTTAACTTCGTTCTAGGTTTAATTTTGGGTTTTTCCGGAAATCGTTCCAATGGGATCGCTTGGATGGTAGCTTCGAAACCGTGATCTCCGATTTTGGAATGTGCTATTTCCACTTCGGAAAGTTTCTCCCAAAAGGCCTGAATTTGGTTCTCGATGTTGCCGAAACCCGTTGAAATCTGAAAATTTTCAATCAGAAACAGTGTAGACATATGCAGTGTGTCCCTGAATGGATTTTCTTCTCTCAACAACTCCATCCAGGGACACACTGTATTTTATTGGTAAGTAGAAGAACTTTTATTTTTCTCTTTTAATAATTCTCTAGATTTTATCAAGCATTGTTATTAACCTTGGTTTCGATGGTTTCTTCGAAGTTACTCAACTTTCTTTCGATTTTCTCGTCAATCTTCTCTTCTGTGGCCACTGCTTCATCGAGTTGCTCCGGTTTACTACCGATAACATCGTGATGTACAGTATAAACTTGGAAATTTTTAGCTTTTTGTCTTTTATCCTCCTGTTCCGAAGTTTGAGTAGTATTCTCGATTTTGGGTTGCTCGATCGCGCTCTTTTTGGGGGTACTTTCCTCGGCTTTTACGGGTTCTTGTTCTTTGTTTTTAAATTGCAGCACGATTTCGAAGAGTTTGTCGTACTTTTCGGTGAAAAAGCTCTTCTCCGTTTGCAAATTGGACATTTTATCTTCGACTTGCCTGCGGAATTTCTCAAAGCTGTCCTGAATTTCACCAACGAGCTTAGTCGTTCTGTCGTCATTGTCTTTATGAACCACTCTCAATGGACTAAAAATAATAACATTTTTTAAAACGGAAACTTTGTATAAAATGCCACTTACCTTTGATAAATATCTATTTCTTTTTCAGTAGGTTTCTCCTGTATGAACTTTTCAGTATTATTCAATCGTTCTTTCAGCTCCTTTATCTCCGATTGCAACTTCTCTGCCTCCGAATTCACGCCGAATTTGTTATGCAAGCCTCCGTTGTGTCTTTTATTTATGTGGCTAGTCAAATGATCTTCGGAAGAAACTATTTTGGAACATATTGCGCATTTGAGCGTAGTCAAAGGGGTGTTTCTCGATGATGAAGACGATATGTGCGATTCGAGTTCTTTCTGTATTTTCAGTTCTTTTATTTCCTTTAAATATCGAAAAACATGTAAAAAAAGGAAACTAATTAAGCGTTGTAGGTGTGTTTTGTGTTACTCTCTAAGTCATGTTAATTGGCCTGCTATTAGTTACATTTATAATTAATCCCACAATATCACTCTTTCTTTTTCCTTTATAAGGGACTAATGCGTCAAACTTTAAACTTATCTATATGTATAGTATTGCAAAAATTCCATGGAAAGCTAGAAGATTTATTTACCTACCTCTTTCAATTTATTGAGCTCCTTTTTAAGTAAAACGACCGTTTTATCTAAGTACTTTTTGCAAAATAGCAAATATTCTACAGATAATTGGCTTAATCGGAAGACTTTGACAAAATTGACGTCGAGAACTTCTGCTTGATCGTTTTCTAAAACATATTGTACAACAGTAGAAATATTTCTGTCCACAGATGCCACGTCCCTCTCTTTTATTATTCGATCTATATCAATTAAACCTGTAAAAAGCGATACAAAAGTCTTATTAATAGGTCTACAAATTGTCCATTTGTAAAATGAGATTTAATTTAATAAAAAGGGACATTTTATTAAACATGATTAGAGCCTGGAAAATACGCAAAATGCATGTATAATGCATATTTCCCTTAAAAATTCAAAATACTTAAGCAAAATAAAATTTTGCATTTTTCAATATATTTTGCCAATAAAAAATTAATATACGTTGAACTTAATAATAAATCATAAAACAAAAACGTTAAAAATTACTTACATTAATAAAATAAAAAAAAAATATTTTATATCTGATTAGTGCATATTTTGAAGGCTTTTAGTGCATATTTGTACTTATGCATATTTTGCCATTTTTTTAGTGCATATTTTCCCAGCTCTAATATCATGATGCATTTTTCAACTCTTTCCCTTAAACCAGGAAATATTCAAATTGAGTTTCTTTGCAATGCTATAGAACGAAGTTATGGAATTGACTTACAAATTTTATTTTTATCCAAATTGGGGTACTTGAATTTATCGAAGCAAAATCCGGTGTCCCATGCCAATCGAGTGTAATCGTAGTGCCAACGGTAATTGTCCACCCACATTCTAGTCCAAATTATTTTTCTGTTGCAATTCGAAACGATTATCAAATTTTTTAACGAAATAATATCAATACAAAACGCATATTTGTATTTGTTTTGATTGTTAGCGCACTGTCAATGACGCTACCAAGTGCGGAATTCTGGTGTTCCACGGTTCCGTGTCACGTTTTATGTAGTATGTAGGCAACACTTTTAACACGTTATTGTTAGAAATATTGCCAACGAAACGTCAAAATAATATTGTAAAACGAATATATCGAGTTGTTTAACAACAACAAACGCGCTTTACAATAATTTAAATACTTGGTACATTTTTTACGGGGTGTAACTAGATGGCAGTCGTAAAATTAGTATTGATTTTAAATTAAATAGGTCGCTCGGCGCGTAGGCCGACTCGTCCTTGAATTAAACGTAGTTCCAACGGTGATTCATACGGGTCGCCCTTCGTGGTTGCGCCAGCGCCTGCGCGCACCGCACTTTTTTCACCCATTCATCGTTTTGTTATTGTATCTAACCAGTGGGCCGATTTTAATTTTAGAGCGCAATCCACGATAATTACTGATTAACTACTTCCCTACTTTCTTCGGCGGTATCAGCGTACTATTTACACCGCAATGGCGTTGAAAAACCAAGTCGGGCAAAGTGAGTATAACGTGCATTTTATCCGCTTATCTGACAGGTAGTTGGGGGCAGTGGATCAATCATTTAAAGATTAGTCACAATTGCCTTATTGCACTTGTATTTACTGTTTAATACGCTGTAAACACTGCAAAATTTACAACGCACTTTTCTTTACACACTCCTTTCAAATTAGGCATCTCTACGTTAATCCTTGCTATGACCCGAAACCCCTACTATCTAAATTTATTAACACATTTCAATAACAACCACGTACAAACTTGGAATATGAATAGGATATTTATGGAGTTACTTTATTATAGAAATAATGAACGAGGTGATAAAACATAAACCCTCGAAGAAGAACGGACCTGCTGTTACGCAGCCACATAATGCGGCCGGTGTTGACTGGAGAATCCTGGTGGTCGATCAACTGGCAATGAGAATGGTATCGGCTTGCTGTAAAATGCACGACATATCTGCCGAGGGTATTACATGTGAGTCACATTCAAATCGAATACAGTAAACTACCTACAGTAGTTGTTTCTTACGGTGCATAGGAAATAGCTGTAGACGCGTGAGTACGATGCGCATTGGTTTGAATGATGCGCAGGTTACGTCTGTAGGTGTTTTGGATTGCAATAATGTTGGTGTTGTAGTGAATGTTTTATAATAATTTGTTTTATTGCAAAATTGCAGTGGTTGAAGATATAATGAAGAAGAGGGAGCCTCTCGCTACGATGGAAGCTGTGTACTTGATCACACCTTCCGAAAAGTCTGTTCATGCTCTCATGAACGATTTCGAGTCTCCGAGGCCTATGTATAGAGGAGCACACGTATTTTTCACAGAAGGTATTTTATGTTTTTTTTTACTCTGAATTTATTTTTGATTATTGAAGAATTTCCTCTATAGGAAATGAACGATTTTTTGTTTGTTTTATATTTTATTTTTTATTTTTATTTTCTACAGCATGCCCAGACGAATTATTTAACAAATTAAGTAAGAGTCATGCAGCAAAATATATAAAAACGTTAAAAGAAATCAACATAGCATTTATTCCGACAGAGTCACAGGTACTTGAAACTTGATTAAGTTCTTTTAAAGGTATGCTTGTTGGTGTTTCTCTCTACTGTCCTATTTTTAACCTAACATATGCTCTTTTAATCACCGTTGTTTGTTAGCAATATCCTCGTTTATAATGAAAGACAGATTACCCCATTTAAAAATGTTATTGTACAGTACTAACAATTCTTAAAAATTACTAAAAATTTTAAATTGATTAATCATTTGTTGAGTTATTGTTTTCGTTTGGTTTGGGCTTTTTCGTTTTATTCTATGTAATATAATGCGAATTTTATGTAACAGTCTGTCCGGAAGAGCTCTTCAATGAGCTGTGCAAATCGTGCGCAGCTAAAAAGATTAAAACCCTCAAGGAAATCAACATTGCCTTTTTGCCTTACGAGTCCCAGGTGTGTGTCTATTTGTGAATCCTTACTAGTAGTTTTCAATGGAGATTTGCTATTCTGTGAAAAGTTTTTTTAATTTGTATTAAATTTCTCAAATTAGAACGTATTCATTCTATACAGATAAGTGCAAATATGTTTGAAATATGGTCGATTGTACTAGTTGAACAAAGAAAGGTTATTAAAATAACAGTGGTTAGAATAAGAAAGTTGCAATTTCACAATATCCTTCTTTCATATAAGACTAATAGGAGTTGCCTTTATTGCGTCCACAGACCATATTTGCACTTACCCATATAGTAATCTTCATTGAACCTAATGCTTCATGTAATGTTTTAACCAATTTTCTATTAACATTTACGCATTTTTTATATTTATATTCAATGCTAGCACAAAAAAGTTTATTTTCAGATACAAATGTGTAGTTTGGAACTAAGTAATAGGATGTTTCAATAAATGTAATAATGCATGAATATGTCTCTTTAATAGTTTTATCAGTTAGTACAGCTTTCTACAAATACAGTTTATATTTGGCTGTATCAAAATGAAACACCCTATTACATTTTTTAGCCTTATTTATTGTATAAATCGCGTTTTGCAGGTATTTTCTTTAGATTCCCCTGACACTTTCCAATGTAGTTACGATCCTTCCTTTGCTGCCGCACGAAACGCGAATATGGAAAGAATGGCCGAACAGATTGCAACGTTGTGCGCCACTTTGGGGGAATACCCGCACGTCCGATATAGGAGGTAAACGACATTCGTTTAATGAATACCAAAAGTGATATTAATAAATTAAAAAAAACCATTAGCGATTGGGAACGTAACGTAGAGTTGGCGCAATTGATTCAGCAGAAATTGGACGCTTACAAAGCCGACGAGCCGACCATGGGCGAAGGACCGGAGAAAGCCAGATCGCAATTGCTGATCTTAGATCGAGGCTTCGATTGCGTTTCGCCGCTACTGCACGAACTGACGTTTCAAGCGATGGCCTACGATTTGCTTCCGATCGAAAATGACGTGTACAAGTAAGCCTTTAAACCAATCCATTTCGCTCTAACTTAGTCATCTGATTTACGTTGAAGATACGAAGCTTCCGCCGGGGTGCAGAAGGAGGTGCTCTTGGACGAAAACGACGAGCTGTGGGTGGAATTGCGCCATCAACACATCGCCGTCGTGTCTCAAAGCGTCACCAAGAATTTGAAAAAGTTCACCGATTCCAAACGTATGACCCAAAGTGATAAACAATCCATGAAGGATTTGTCCACTATGATCAAAAAGATGCCGCAATACCAGAAGGAATTATCGAAATACGCCACTCACCTACATCTCGCCGAAGACTGCATGAAGGCTTACCAAGGGTATATCGATAAGTTGTGCAAAGTTGAACAGGTAACGTTCGTTGAAGTGTATTTGATGCTAGATTCGAAAATGTTGTTGTTTGGTGTAGGATTTGGCAATGGGTACAGATGCAGAAGGGGAGAAAATTAAAGATCACATGCGCAACATCGTTCCGATTCTTCTAGACACCAAAATAACGAACGAATACGATAAGATGCGCATCATAGCTTTATACGCTATGACCAAAAACGGTATAACCGAGGAAAATCTTACGAAGCTAGCTACACACGCGCAGATTAAAGACAAACAAACTATCGCTAACCTGCAGCTCTTGGGAGTTAACGTCATTAACGATGTAAGTTTGTTATGCTCTCGAAATATCGTAGTTTTAAATCGTATTTCCTGTTACAGGGTGGTCCTAGAAAAAAGCTGTACACCGTACCGCGCAAAGAGCGAATTACAGAACAAACTTACCAGATGTCGAGATGGACACCGGTTATTAAAGACATCATGGAGGATTGCATCGAGGACAAATTGGATCAGAAGCATTTCCCCTATCTAAGCGGACGGGCGCAAACCACCGGATACCATGCGGCACCCTCCAGGTAATGACCTTAAAAAATGTATTTTGTCCAAGCACAAAATAGCCCAAGACAATATAGTCCAAGGACAAATAGTCCAAACACAAAATAGCCCAAGACAAATCAGCTCTGACAATACAGGGTGTTAATTAATTAAGTGCCAATACATCAGGATGTGAATATTTGGTAAATAACGATAGAACAGTTATTTTTCTTTTTAAAACCGTAACACCCTGTAGCTCGAAAACTAAGAGGTTTAGGAGATATATTGATATAAACTTTTCTTCTTAAAATCACCCAAATATTCACATCATGAAGTATCCAAGGACAAAATAGCCCTGGAGTCCTAATAGTGCTATTTTGACTATTACAATTAATTTATCGCAGTGCTCGATATGGCCAATGGCACAAAGATAGAGGCCAGCAGGCCGTGAAGAACGTCCCGCGTCTGCTGGTCTTCGTCGTCGGAGGGATAAGTTTCTCGGAAATTCGCTGCGCGTACGAGGTGACAAACGCCCAGAAGAATTGGGAGGTCATAATCGGATCGTCGCATATCCTTACACCAGAAGGTTTCCTCAGCGATTTAGCGACGTTAGCCGGCTAGAATCAGATGAAAAAGGTTACTTTCAATCTGCCCGAATGATACGATTTTACTTTGTTGCCTTTTTACAGTATTTTCTCCATCATCTTACAAGCATGTTCTTTACAGTTAGATTAAAAGAGTCGCTTTAAATATTCCTAAAAGAGTAAGGTGTTGTAATGATTGCAGATGTAAACAGAGGTATGTTTCCGGAGGATATTGTAAAAAGACAAAAATGTTTGGCAGTTTTGTTTCAGTAGCAATCAGCAAATCATGTAACCCAGTTGTAAATTTTATAATATTGGCTGTAAAAATTTGTCTAACCGTTTCAACAATTATTGTTTCCGATTCGGATCGAAATTTTTAGCAATAATGTAGGATTTCACGCGTCGAAGGCGGGTTAAAACACGTTTAATATATTATCTATTATAAAGTAAAGATTTATTTATAAATAGGCGAAAGGTGAGCCTATAGGCTTGCTATTTTCTACTGTTCTAAATTAAAATGCACCATCTGTTATAAAGCTATTGTAAATTGAACCGCTACTTGAATAAAAGGTATTCTGTAACTAGTCATATCCAGTTGCGCAAACATTTAATGGCTTCTTAATTGTAAGTGTTGATAATTCTGAAGTAGCTTTTGAATGTCATCAGACTGTGCAATTGGTTTACTAATTATGTATTTTAGAAGAAACTTAAAATAATCCGTTGAAGTTGCAACTTACAACGTGGATGTTATTTGTATAGATATCTTTGTGATTCAAACTTTAATAGTCGATGGAAGAGAAATTTAACTGATACAAGTAGATGATTTAGTTCCCGATGAAATAAGATCTATGTTGTATTTTAGATTAGATAAATTGTATTTTTAAAATATCCACTAATGTGTAAAATTATTATATAGACAACTTGAATTAACAGCTTCGTTGTGAACTATCCATTTGTTTGTGTTCTATAAATGCATTCCGGGGCTTTTGTGTTGTTTTAATAAAAGTAGTACGATCACATCAAACTGACTGAAATTTTTTTAGCGTTATACTTAAAGTCTTGCTAGGTATATTTTTGTTTCTTCTAGTTTTTGTTTTTTTATATTTAATGTTTTTTAATTCTATCATAAGTTAAATCGTTTTCAAACTAATTTTACTAAAAAGCTATTCATTTCTATGAATAGCTGTGTTCGTTCCCATCTGGTTAGCTTATGTGGCTGTTATTGAAATAGAGTATTGTATCTAAATGTATGTTCTAGTTATTTTCCTTTAAAATATAATATATCATGTCAATTGCAAATGTTAATAAATATTAGCGAACATTAGCACTTTTGTTTTTTTTAATCGGTACAAGTTTTCCTGTACTCTCTAATATTAATTAATTATTAATTTATAACGTCTCATATAAAGGAAAAAGAAAGCGATATTCTGGGACTGCAATCTTTCTTTATTCAACTCAGAATTGACCATATTGGAAACAAATGTATACTTACTCATATGTATACAAATATTGATTAAATAACAACGAAAAACCTAAAAAAGCGCTCTAAAATACATTGCCAGAGAGCCTCTTTAACGTAAACAATCCCTAGTTACTCCATAACAACAATATACAACTGTCAAAACTTTTAAAATAAAGCGCTGAATACGGGTCATTATGAATATTTGATAAACTGGTTGCCTATCTGCTAGAATAATAAAGATGCTAATGTGAAAGCGCCTTAACAAAGCTTTGTTGACATTTTTGACGTTTTTTCATTTTTTATGACTTTGACAAATAAACAAATGTGTGACAGTGACACTAATGACGTCGTCGGTGCCGTTTAAAAGAAGGTCGACGAATCTGCAGCGAGCGAATGCAGTCTGCAGTATTTTCAAAGTTTCGGTGCGAGGTAGGGAAGTGGAACGATGAATCGAATAAAAAGATGTTGAGTTAATGACTGCAATCATTCTTCTATTAATGTCAAGGCAAAAGCATTATGCCTTAAAGTTCAAATAGGATGGTTCGTCGAAACGAAATTTTCGGAATAACGATAGTTGCCTCGATTTGCCTTCTCCTCATAGGGTTCAGCCAGAAGGACCCTACGAATTATCAAAGATCTCACAGGTTTCAGCAGTTGTTGGAGTTAGAAGGGAGTTTTAGATATAAGAATTACACAGTTCCTATACCATCCATGAATAATGTGATTTCGCTTCAGAAAAACCAAATTTACAGAGAATTAAGTGAATACGAATTTCCTGAGGGGTACAATTTAGAAGATTTTACTTTATCCACAGGAGGTAAGCCTATCCGGACTATCATTATAACTACATGGAGATCCGGTTCAACATTTTTAGGTAAGATTATCATTCTATTTATTCCAATAAAATAGTGCTTAAGTAGGTTGTTGTTAATACATATAATTTAAAATATGTACTTAATTTTTTGCTACGCTCTAATTTTCAATAAACCGTTTTATTTTCAGGAGATATACTTAATTCGGTACCGGGAAATTACTACCACTACGAGCCCCTTCTTGAATATGAAATCGTGCGAATTAGAGGCTACCCTTACGCCGAGCGGGCTCTCAGAACGCTCAAGAACCTTTTGCACTGCGATTACAAGAAACTTCGCAGTTACTTGCGCTATGGCAGATCGCACGTTTATTTATTCACCCACAATACCAGACTGTGGGATCAATGCGAGCAATTTCCCTCGTACTGCTGGAATCCAAATTTTTTGAGCCAGTTTTGCAAACTGTTTCCGTTCCAAAGTATGAAGAGCGTTCGCTTGAGTTTAGATTTGGCTGAAAACCTTTTGGAAGACTCTAGGTAAATATTTTATGTGTAGTCAAAATATTTTCATATGTTCGAAAAGTTGATATTTTATTGTGTAAAATGAGATATTACGAAACCATCTTAGCAAATAGGAAATAATAATCCTTTAAATCGTTTTATCTACTCTAATGGATAAAGGTGTATTTTTTATTTGTAGTTTTATTTTTACGTAATATTATCTTGTATTGAAAAAATATTACATACAATCAGTATTAATCTTAATACTGTATCATAAAAAAATTAAACACAATTAATGTTTTTAAATTGATAAAAAGCAAATTCAATTACAATCAATTAAAACAAACAATCCACTGTTTTTTTAAATTGTATCGATTCATTCCATTGATATTTCAACAATAGTGCATTTCGGACACCCATAAAAATGCTATTTTTACAACGATATTTTCGTTTCAGTTTGAACGTCAAAGTGATTTTACTGATAAGAGACCCGCGCGGTACTCTGCAATCCCGCAAACACCGAGATTGGTGTCCGGGGAACCCTGACTGTGATCAACCCTTAAATTTGTGTTCTGACATGGTATCGGATTACTTAGCAGCCGGAAAATTGAAGAAGAAATACTCGGATAGATTTAGGTAAGTAGTCGAATTTGTTTTGTATTTGTAACGTTCCATTTCGTTGTATTTCCCTCGTGTTGGTTTCCCAAGAGCTCGAACAAAAGGTTGTTTTAGTGTTTTAATTACTTGAATTAATGTATGTGTATATTTGTCGAGCCTAAGGTCATGAAATGATGTGTAGTAATTAACGATCGAAAGCCTTGGTGTTAAATGGTAATGTGTAAATAAATTGGTATTAAAGTAATTTGAATAATCAATAAATTTTGATGATGTATTCTAGTTTCTACTATTTTTATATTTTAATCGAAAATGCTAGAAGGAATTTTATATAAGCTTTGGAATTACTTTTAAGCCTGATTTATAAGTAGCTGAGTATTTAATTGTTATCAGTTATTATGATATTGGAATGATTATTTATGTTTCAAATTACACATAAAACTTTAATCAAATTTAAACTAGGTCGATGCAAATGTTTTCAAACAAAGCATTGTAGTACACGTAATTTATTAATATGATAATACTATACATTACTTGCTGACTGTTTGTAAATATTTGGATTAAAAACTATCGAATAAGCCACGTGGTTTAAGTTTGATAACAGCAAATATTTTGTATCAAACTCCACTCATTATACAGGGCGTTTTTTTTATTTATATTGTCTTCTCTTATTCCAGGGCTTTGCGTTACGAAGACCTCTCCCTAAATCCGTACGAAATAGTCCAAGAGCTGTTCAGCTTTCTGGGGCTGCATTTCCACAATTCGGTCAAGCAATTTCTAAATTCCCACACGCGAGTCAACATCGGCGGCGTGTCGAGCACGTTCCGGGATTCGAAGAGCGCTCCGTTCCACTGGAAGACCGATCTGAATTACACCGAGATCCAGGCCATCGAGGAAGTGTGCGAGGACGCGATGAAATTGTGGGGCTACGTTCGATCGAAAAACGCCACCGATGTGAAGGAGTTCAATTCTCTAACCAAGTACGATATTGCCTAAATTTTTTGATGGCGTATTGTAGAGTACACTGTTAGGGCTGGTTTTTAAAAATGCACAAGGGAAATGGGTTACAGAGCAACGAGCATTTCGTTTATTTGTTAAGTAATTTAATTGACTGGAATTTTGAGGTATGTCAATTAACGATTAGTGAATTTTTAGCCAAACACTTGCTAGATGACGTGTTAAAATATGGGATTAAAATTCTTGCTTGCCTTTATTATAGAACACCGATTGCGAGATTTTCAAAAAAAATACTCCTTAACTTATTCCGAGCAAACAAACTGAACTATAATAGAAGACTGTATTGTTTTGCGTTACAGTATTGCAGTACTTAAAAAAATGGAGATTTGTTTTATATCCAAGTATTTATTATATCTAATTACCATAGTTAAGTGAAAAGTTTTACAAATAATAAATCGGTGCTATGAAAATGATTGAAATATAGGCGATTTTGCTACAGATCTTTACTAAGTACAATTTTAATTTATTTCGTCGTGCAATTTTTTGTTCCTCAAAGGTTTTAATTAATTTTAGTGTCTCGAACGTTTTTTGAAACGCTCACATAACTTAATTTATTTCTTAGGTTTAAGTAGGTTTTAAAAAGCTAGTCAATTTTGCTCAGATAGATATTTAAGAATAGAAATTTACCGCATCCAACAAACAGATTGTCTCAATTTATTCTCACAAAATCATATTGTAATTAAATTATTAGAAAAGTGGTATTTTGGGGCAATCTGAATGCGACTCGAACAAATTTTTCGATTAGTTAAGTTCCACGAAATTGAGAGTTATATTTTCACCAATAGCATCAAGCTGCTAGCGTTAATTTCACTTTTCCATACGTTATGATGTACAATGTATCTCGAAACTTTAATTACTGGATTGTATTTTTTATACAGGGTGACTCAGGCAATCTTCAATGTTTCAAGTTTTTTGAATATGGTGATGTACTAATTGCATTGAAGGTGCCACATTGTTGAGTCACCCTGTATAGTGTATTGTTACAATTATTTATTTGTCGAGGTAAGATTAACGAATTGAGGATGTTTATAAGTAGGTATTACTATTGGATACGTGTTAAGACAATATAGAATATGCGTTTCATTCGTTAAAAGAATACATATCTTCGAAACAGTTTTGGAACACAATGTAATTGTGCGTATGTTTTTGTTTTGTAAGGAATTTATCGAGATTCGTTCTCGATGATTTCCCTGTTATGGTCAATTGTTTGGAGATAATGAAACGATTTTTAGGGTATTTTTGATTAACATAAAACGATATATCAGTAGATGCATATCTTGATAGAGAACTGATTTAAGGATAATTTTAATTGTAACGAGAATATTTTAATGATAGGATTGTGCCTTTTCGAAACGATAATATTTAAATACATGGGCACCACATGCAAGCACTGTGGAATTTACGAAACAAACGCCGAACAATTTTGTCCCGTGCAATGATCTGAAAGTATATTTTATTTTACTTGGTTTTAGGGTTAATTAATATTTCAATTATGTATTATTATTCAAAGTGATATGGTGAATTTATGTCGGTTGCATTTTTTGGGCTTATTTCATTAAATGCTTATTGTGTATTGCAACAATACGCAAATTACAATACTATTGATCAAAAATGCACCGTGGGCAATTGTTTGCGCAATTCAGGTACGTTTTGTGAAGAAACTTTTTACAAAGCCTAAACTTGCAATATTTATCACGCCATAACCACGATTCGGGCTTCCAGTATAGACGATTTTGTAATTTTTAAAAGGATTTTTAAGGCTTCAGCGGTTTTTAGTGCACAACTATTACGAGTGAAAAAAATTTAAAATTATATTATCCTGCGTTGTAATTTTGCAGATGATTGTTTACATTTTATATGACTTTGTATGTTGATTAATTTTTTCTTGATTTCCAAAACAGTATTTACGGATTAAGTGTTTAATATTTAATTGGGTTTATCCCAGTTTTTATTAATTAACTTAATCTACACCAATCTCATTAGTACTTAATTGTTTTGTTTATTTGTATTATATTTTTATGATAAGTTTGTGTAGTATTATCGAGTATATATTTTAATAAATTTTATTTATTTGAAAGTTGAAAGTGCTTCATTCACCGAATAGCATCGTGACCCCTCAATATAGCCCAGGACAAAACAGTCCCGATAAAATAGCCCAAAGAAAAATTCTCCCAAGATCAAATAGCCCAAAGACAAAACAGTCCCGACAAAATAGCCCAAAGAAAAATTCTCCCAAGACAAAACAGCCCAGAGACAAATTCTCCCAACACAAAACAGCCCAAAGACAAATTCTCCCAACACAAAACAGCCCAAAGACAAATTCTCCCAACACAAAACAGCCCAAATGCAAATTCTCCCAACACAAAACAGCCCAAAGACAAAATAACCTGAGACAAAACAGTTCCGGTAAAATTACAAGCAAGCATTATTAGATTTGTAGTGTTTTTAAGACATGTTTTCATTCTGTTCTATTTTATGGTGAACTATAATTTCATTTTATTTAATGCAATAATAAATTTCTAGTTGCATTATTAATAGAAATTTCATAGATTATATATTCGAACATTTTCCAGTTAGTATCCATCGGTCCGTAGATGGTTTTGTATACTGTCATCATTGCCTTTGATATTTCTTATTTCATTTTATTTAATGCAATATTTTATAATCTGTAATTTTAATCCCGATGCCTGATAAAGTAACAACTGGGGCTATTTTGTGTTGGGCTATTTTGTGGGGGTACCGGATACCATTAACAACTCGATATCGAATCGATAAAAAAATATAATAATTTATTCTGCTTCTACGACCGAGCCCATTTCGCTACGCTCTAAATGTTATAAGAAATACTTAAAACATCAATACAACAATTAAGCGCAGGTGAAAATAACAACAAGAAATACAAGCATTAATAATTCAAAGATGATCTAATTACTAATCAATTTTATTCAACATTATACACTCATAAAAATCCCTTAATTCATATCGTAGAAAAAAAAACTACTTTTGATGTCGAAATTAACTTGGCCTGACTTCTCCACATGACCTCCGGCCTTGAACGTACCCCGGCCCGTGTTCGTTACACCCGAGCAACCAACCCCTAATTTCTACCCTGCGTTCGTGCGGTGTGCCCCGACGGTCTTTCACGCATATCATTCAGACTGTTCGCTGCAAGCTGTAGCTGCACGAATAACATTTACACTGACGGCATTTTTATCGCATTATCGGTTGTATTAAATGTATGGAGTTTTGTAGGAACGAAATGATTTAATTTATCCGGCCGATAACAATTTCTGTGTGCGGTTTTTGTTTTCAATCTCGACTTCGAGCGATCATAGCTGGTGTTAAATGTCGTAATTGTTGCAGTTGCAGTCAGCGTATTTGCCGTGGGTGGATTTGTTGTTTATGTGGGTGGAAATTCAGCTGGCAAGGGTGAAATTGTTGCATTTTCGAGGAAGGTACGTATCGATTTCAATAGCGCGTTTAAAATAGGATGAAATTGTTTGGTTAATAAGGAAGTGATTATTTTTTTTGACCTTACGTCGGTTTAATTAAAGTATTTGAAACCGATTGTGTTAGTAAATAAGTAGCCTTGCTATTGAGATTAATACCGCAAAGATTTATTTTATTAAATTGGGTAAAGGTAGAGTGAATGTTGAATCAAAAATTGATTTTTCTTTCATAAAGGAATAGCGTTTTTTTACAAATATCTATCTACATGCTTGAATAATTAATTTATTGTTTGTTCTATTATTTGTTCAGCTTTTATTTAGGTAGGTTCATTGATTTAATAATGACTACTTTTGTTTGTCGTAACCCTTTATTTTGGGGGTTTGCCAATGTTCTCCTAATAGAGGTACAACAAAAGGAATCAATAACTTTAATTTAATTACAGTTGGCACAAATTCCTGTCGAGACAACGAAAATTATTATTGCCTTATAAAAAATACCATACGTTCCACAAATAAGTTGAGAATTTTCATATCAACCACTAATTATTCAAACTATTTCAAACTGTAAATTTTCCTACAGAATTCACGTTGGGCTACTCGAGGAAAATCAACCGAAATACGCATTTTCCTCGGTCTATTTTCAATCAGCGAACTTTAATACTTGTTCATCGATAATTGCATAGTTGGTACCACTTTTGATACCATCTTTATAGGGCTTTATCAGCCGACCGTAATTGCTTCATTCATTCCAGCAAACGCTGAAAACTTTCACATTAGATTATCTATCCTCTTCTCCCGTTTATTATTGAAGATTATATCTACTAATTACAGCAAATTGTTCACTGCTGGAACTGTTGACTCCTGCAGAATGTTTCCAAAGAGCAGTAGAGGGGTTATTCGGAATTCAAAGACAGAAGGCAAGAGGAATAAGCGATTGCAATGAATTCATAAAATTTTTGAGTTGTTTCTGGATTTGTTATGTGAAAATGTGAAAGATTAAGATAGTTAAGATACTTTCTTGTAAATTCTTTAATAACTGAAACATGAATTGAAACATTCTACCAATATTCTCTGATGATTAGTCGCCTATTTTTTCATTAAAAAATTGTCCCAGCTTAGCAAAATTAGCTTAATTCTATTCACATATGGGAAGATATATCTAGAGACTTTTCCATACTGAAGATTTAGTGCTTGTGCTAAGTTCTCTTTTTATAGTTCCATAGCAAATTTAAAATTTAAAGACTACAATTTCAGATATTTATAGGCAAATGTTCCTGCTATATTTCAAAGCCTGAATGAGTCCATGTGCCCATAAAACAATTCTACAGAGATTATTTTGAGAGCTTCATTCGCTACACACTCTATTATTATCTACACATTAATAGAAGTGTCTTGTAATTGCAATTTTTCATGCAAGTTTCCACCAAAATAGTTGATTTCCAGCTCTGCGAGTTTTCACTCGTTTCTTGGTCTAGTCTAGACGAAATCCAAAACCAGTTTTGGCGAACTTTTCAGATCGTGCAATTCATTTCAGTGCAAGTGTTTGCCGTTGTGTATTTTCGTGTTGTAATCGAGACCCGATGTTTCATGCTTCATAAAATCGGAGAATTTTTTGGTCAATAACCTCTCGAATCGAGAATACATACATCCACAAGTGCTGGGCTATCAGCTAACGAAGAAAATGTGCTTTTAACGACTCCGCCGCTTTTTGTTCTGCATATTCCCGCACGGCCGATGCCAATGCGTGGTTTATTCGAAACGAATTCGGCTATCTTTCGCTTCTAAACCGAGCGAATGGTATGGTTTTAACGGCCGCGAAAGCCGTACGAACATGAAAAGGTTTCCTAGAATTTAGATGAGAAAAGATGACATCTCGTTATGAGATTTTAATAACGCGGATTTGATTAGATACAGGGTCAAACAGCATTGCAAAGTATGATATGTTTTTTGTAACATATTAAAAAAATTGATTTCTATCCAGGAGAGCCCACTTACTTTTATGATAATTTCAGTATATTTTAATTGACTGTATAAAAGTGTAGGTCAAGATTTGATATGACAGATTTTTTATTTCAATACAGAAATTAAGGAAGTGGAATGTAGATTATGTTAAATATAGAAAATTAAATAACCGATAAAATCAGAAACCTCGTATGGGAAAACCTAAAATTCACTTTCTTTACCATACATTTGCGCATGTCTTGCTCTTTGAAGGAAATACTATCTATTATCTTATAATTTTAGGAGCTATTAAGTTATTATTTTTTCATCCACATTGTCCTATTGTATAACATACTAAATGTTAACTACAATTGATAGGTCAAGAGGTCATAATTAATTATCGAAAATTACATGAGTATCGACCAATAAAATACCAATCATGTAGTCAGGCATTTGTATAATAAAATAATAAAAAAAATCTCTTTTTTTATACCATACCACGTACACAATAGTATAGGCGCCTCATTTATTACCTCGTATTGTTTTTCATTAATTAAGATAATTTTTATAATATATTCCCTAACGTTCGTTTTAGTTGATTAAAATGAAATAACGCGTTTTAATGAGTCTCGCATCCATTATTCAGCTATGAAATTAATTTTATCGCACAATATTGAGAAGAAAGCAGGAATATTTAAAACAATTTCTCATCTCGAAATCACCGGCTAAAACGCACGATAAATAGCTGAGAAAAAGTGGCTTTTCACTAACGTTTCCTTTAAATTGTGCCTGACACGCACCCTGTATGTTCCGGGTGTAAAATTACACCGGGTGCAATTTGTCATTCGTTTACACTGTGTGATTTTGTTAATTAGACACCGAAATTTTTACATCTTTTATTTTTTCCCACAAAAAATTTAGACGCACTACAATAACATCATCATTAACCACACGTACAAAACCTAAAAATGACAGGAAAATAACACAACACCTATAATTTTAAATTTTAATGGAAACCAATTCACAATCGGCTCGTCCAAAGTTGAAAAATCGCCTTAATGAAGAAACAATGTTCGTAGTTTTTTTCTTTATAAACGGGACAGGACATTGCGATTACACACAGCAGCAGCAGAGAATTAATTTCGAGCGCCTAATTAAACTAACGTACGTATCTGCTTGTATTCATTGTTGTAATAAGGATGTTACTTAAGAATTGTTATTAGTGAAATTCGTATCGTTTCGGTTATACTTTAGAAACCGTTTCAGCGAGTCTAATTTAATTTCTTGTCCTTTGATATTTGTTATTAAGGCTCAATGAGGTACGGATTGCCTTCTAATGTTGTGAAATTTCACTAAAGATGGTGGATTTTGAAGAAGCCTAGCGATTTAGTGAAAGTATGCCGATGGGATTTCTTTAATAGTTTGGTATTGATATGGATTTTCAAAATTCTTTATTGAACTTCTCGATTTTTGCGAATCTAATATTATTGATCATCCTGTATATTGTGGCAAGCATTTTACATAGCTGTAAATTATAAATACAAATAATTCAGGCATTGTTGTTTATTCAACAAAGAATTTCACGAATTTTATCTTAATGTGGGCTTTTAAGCGAGCTATGCAAAATTAATTTTCTTCCTCTCTTCTAAAACAATGGTGAATTCACTTTTATTTTATGAAGCGCCGCTAAAACTATAATTATTATAAAGTAATATTTGTTTTTATCGTTATTTTCATTGTATCATAATAATTTTCATAAAACCATGCTTGATAAGGTGTCTTAATGATTAAGACTGTTATATTCCCCTTCGGGCAAATTCCTGGTAACTGAAATTAACTGAAACAGTTCCCATTGCTCCTTAATTAAACCTAATGGTTTTGTACACGAAATTAAATTTAAAGTTTACGCAACGTAAGTATAAGCATAATGTAATGATCTAAAATCTAGAAGATATAACAGATTATATTTTTTATAACAAAAAATTATTAATCTAAATTTGAAGGTTACTTCTTATTCCAATATTAACGGTAACTGTATACCTATGTATTGTTTAGTTTATTGGAAAATAGATAGTGTTTATAAGTCGTTGAACTAAATACAAGTGGAGGATTTCGAGAGGATATAACGGATTTTTAGCACTTGCAAAGTCATGTAAATTAAATGAAATATCGAAATTGCAATCACAAATATGTATTTTCGAGATTGTTTTACGTTCGCAACAAAAGAATTGTTCGAATGAGGTATTCGAGGTATAATTCGCCCGTAATGATTAAGGAAAACAGAATAACTGCGGTTAAAATTTCCTTAAAAATTTAATGAGTTTTTTGCATTGTTAATAAATTCTTCAACTTTCTGTATGAGTTCATCGGATAAATTTCTCAATAATTCGAATACAGACAGAATAGCCGACTGTGATAAAGTTACTTTAACCCTTTATCTGTTATAGTTCATAATATGGGCCTAAAGACAATTGCTATGATTATAGAAATTTATATTTACGTGAGTGCAATGAGGTTTTCATTTTATTAACAATAACAAAAGCATATAAAAAACTTAACATAAACAAACAATTTTGTAACGCTTTTGTTATTTCAATAATAAAATATGTAAAAACCAATTTTAGTTGCAATTAAAAACAATGTTTGGTTATGAAAATATGACCCGAATCTCGATGGCCTTTATTTTTATTCAATTAACGTTTGTTTGCAGTTACCCAAAATCGTCATTGAAGCATTAATAAATTTAATAGGTGTTGAACAATAATTCAACAAATTATGTTGATGCAATTGCAATGCCATTTTTAATAAACGAAGACAAAGTAGTTTGCAACCACGGTTTGTAGAATGCAAACCGTGGTTTGCAACTACTAAGCAAAATTATAAATCAAACAAAATTGCAAAGCACGCGTCGTAAATGATCAATATTTTATTTAGAAATCGCCGTAGGGAAATTTTTATTTACTTTTAAATCTTGCAAGTACTAAACACATTATTATTATTCATAAAATGTATTTAAAAATTAAGGCGTTACAATTTTACCTTAAAAGGATGGCAAAGGAAATCTAATTATAGGTTTCGAATAATTAAAATGCTTAATTTAACTTATTTATAGTTGACGTTGTTAACAGTAGATACATTCAGATTTTATCGTTAATTTTACGTACCTTATCAGCCACTTAATATTAGCAAATAATAATAAAATAAATTAAACGAAAAGTAAGTGCATATCTGCCTGATGCCTCTCTTTATCCGATAGATAAAATTGTATCCATGCATTGATAACTAATCCCTTAGATACACAATGCACGAATTATTTAAATGATTTGGTTTACGTCAACGTAAATATATGTAAATTCTCAGAAATAATTCATTTTCAACAACATCGAATTATATTGCTCATTAGGTACAACAGCCACCCAATCCGCAATCCACCAAGCTAATTATATCCCTCGAAACGAATGGGAATTTCGGTTTTCGTTTTCGCCAGTTCTTGACAATCTCGACAGCTCGCAGGAGAGCCATGGTGGTTGTCTCTCCGCCTCGGGCTCCGCACCTCCTCGACTACGCAATTCACGGAAACCCCATCGCCGATTTTACTTCTACTTCTCTTCTGCCCGGCGGCGCGACAGCCCGATATTGGGCGGTGTGAGAATGGCCGTTACGATAAACCGGGCAGTAAATTTTTTAATAACGTTTAGGGTCAATGGACAATTCGAATGTAAAAAAATGGACTGGTAATGCCTAGTAATTAATAGACATCGCTTTGGTATACTTGCATCTACTGGGTAATGATTCGAGTAGATGAGTGGAGATATTTCTCGAATGATTGCAATATTAGGTTGTTGAATGTAGTGTATTAATCCTTTGCTCGTTCAAATAATTGTACAGATCGTTTTTTTGCAGCTGCAAGGCATACTGTAATACGATGAAATTGTTGTTGTAAAACTGTGTCTAATCAGAACCGATAAAATAATTATAAGTTTGCTGCATTTTTGTGTTTTATGGCAGTTTTATATGTAAAGTACCATTGGATTAGGAGTAGAGTAAATGAAATAGAATTTAGAGTTTTCTTCGTCGAATTATAGGCATAGTGATATAATTGTAAATAATTAGTTTGAAATACAAATAAACGGGGCCAACGAAGACAGCCTTAGCAATTTTATCACCAATACCCGTATTTACTTAATATTTATCTCAACATTAATATCACATATTCATATTTGTATCGTTCATACAAGCGATCAATCACCAGGTCGAAATTTCACTAACGAACGTTTCTTATCGACTATTACATCAGCTCATGTTACTCAGAATAACAACAACAAAAATCCCTTTGATCGTCCGCCATACTGCAAATTCAAATGTGCCATAGATACCTAATCGCAGGGAATCCATCTGCACAAATATCTAATAACGCGAAGTCGATGGCCAAGCCGCAGAGCCGCAGCCACAAAACCACCGGCGAGAGCCATTAGCCACCCAACGACGTGCGAGAGCCGCTCAGGGTCCAGCGATCGCCCGAGACCGTTCGAACAGTCTGCGTGAAAGGAAGTCGTAGTCGCGGTCTTCAGCTCTTTCGACTCGACTCGACATCGACTTGTCCATGCCGCGAAAACAGAAATAGAATATTGAAATTCCCCACCAGGCCGTTCTCCGTTCGCTAACACTTTATACATACACATAACGCGATCTCCTCTTGCGTTTTGTGGAGTAGAGTAGTTTGGACAGGAGTCGCTAATTTAACGACGGTACGTGCTGTTGGCCGTTTTCGAGGTCCCAGTGTTCGCGAAGTGCAGTGCTTGGATTGGTAAACCGCGGTCCGGTTATTGTGGATGGTCGGATTCGATGGAGGAACCGAGGTAAATCTTTCGCCGTTTCGTATGCGATTTTCGTGTGAAAATTAGAAATGTATCGTACGCGAGATTGCATATTGGATGCGGACTTTCGATCGCCGATGGCTTGGTCGGATGATTGAAATTAGATTGGTATTGCGATTGGAACATTCGATGATGAATGAGATTTATTTCGAAATCGGAATGTTGGTATTCGACTAGATTTTAGTTGAGTGATTCAAAAGGTTGTTTATCACATAGTTTGTGATTGTTTTTAATTTAGTCTGCATTGTAATTTGCATACAATATGTTCATGATGGTATGGTGTACGCATACTAGCTTTAAGAAAATTAATGATGAGTTGCAACTGAGAGTAAAAATGAATAAGCGAAGTTTTCGATGAGAAAGCATTGATTTCATAACTTGGTAATTTTTTATTTATCAATCAGTTCTTCATAAAGCTGGATTTTGCAAGGGGGAGTCCCAAAAACAATGTGATTTATTAAAAATTATCAGTTAGTAATTTGTACATTGTCATGAGCTGAAAGGAAACCCAAATTGATACAAGACATACAATAATCAATAACTATCAAAATTTCATATCCTTATTCCTTATTCTGTCCTACAAAGTCAATCAATTATTGATCGTAATATGTTTTCTATTATGTTCATTATACTATTATTACGTCATGTAACATATTTTGCATTCTAATCTGTCGTGCAATGCCCAAATTGTTTCGTGCCAAAACCATCGACTCACTCTGTATAAAAAAACATAAATTCCAAAAATTCGTCACCATAGCCATTAATTTCCTCATATTACTCCACGACATCCAACGTCAAACGTAACAATTCCTTAAATAACAGTGTTGCAAGTTGCAAATGCAAAGTTTGGAAACGATATCATGACAACCGTCGGCGAACGTGTAGCTATATCCAGTGAGCGGCCAATTAAATCTTCGTCAATTTCTTATTGCAGCGGAATTGCGAGAAACTTTGCCTAACTAAGTATAATAAACATAAGCCCACAATAAGACCGCATTTGTGCGGTTCGCACGCAATTCCATACCCACATGCATCCATTTTTGGAATGCCCATTTTACTTTTTACTTTCTTTAGTGTTATTGCTGCACGCCAGTTGGATATATCTAATTGCAATCGCTTTTGGTTTATTTGCGGTATTCTGGTGTAATGATCTACAATCTTCGACATTGTTTTTATTACTCGTATTCTCTTCGTTATATGTTCCTGATAAGTGCCTGCTAGAATTGCTATTTTTCCATACAATGTAATAAGATAATTTAGTACAGGGTATATTTATTTTTATTAGTTCCCTAATGTTCTCTTTACCTACTTGCTGGTTTAATTTTCATTTAACATTTCGCCTATCTACAGTCTACAGAAATTGCTTCTAAATTTTCCTACCTTTCTCCAGTTTACAGAAATTCTTTTCTTAATCTGATCAGTATCTAAAAATCTAAGTTGTTTATTGTGCTATTCTTCAAATTTGATTCTCTTTTCTTCATGACTGAGCAATATACAAGTGCCCCATACGAATTAGAACGGTTCCTAAAGTGAATAATGACTACAGTCTAATGTATTATATCGAAGAGAACATAATAATGCGTTGACTAGTAGTTAACTTAAAGATTTACGATCCTTTTCAAATTAATATTTGATTTATTTCTCAATATGATCTCGGATTAGTCGATGATTTAATTAGCGGTCGATAGTTTTTTATTAGAATATTTTACAATCTACATTTTTGCAATCATTAGGGAAGTTAAGTACTCTGATACATTCTGGTACCTAATCACATAAACGATACTTTGTGCAGTGAATACATAAAGTTTGCCCCAAATTATTTAAGCACCTGTTCAGTACAATTTTAGCGCACCTATACGCAGTTTACAAATTTTAAACCTGTACAGCCCGGTAGTGAATATACCAACCGACCTGACATTTGAAACACAAAACCTGTCTACGCGCCCATGACATCTAGTATTTGAGCCGGAATGTCTTTTAGTGAATAGCTTCTTCCATCGTCGCTAAGCAGGCTATTGCCGATCGCATCGGTCGATTCCATCGATTTATCATGGAAGTACCGTCAACCGGATTTCGTACAAACACACATCTATCGTCGGACGGCTATCTCATCTCGTGCATGCACGCGTACGGATTTTGTCGCTTGACCCGAATACGAATATTTAAGGCTGTTAATTAATTTGCTAGCGTTAGTTTCTGGACCTAGTTCGAGATTTAATTGATGCGCGTCGATAGACTAGATACGAGTTTAACTCGTTTATCTACCTCCTTGCGGTAGGTGTCGTTGAAATCCAGGTGTAAATAAGCCTTGAATGTTGGACGTCGATGTTCTCGAAATAAAATTACCGTTTGATTAATAAGAGACGAAAATAAGCGTACCTACATCGCGGAGATTTCTAACATTATTGTTGCTACATTTGTATCAATATCTCTTTTGTGTTGTACAATGTATCCCACATTGTCGTGGTTGAATCGAGGTCGTTAATTAAGGAATTGAAGTAATTATTGCACAATTGGTGGAAAAATGGCCGTCTTATCATCTGGTGAATTCGCAGAATGCACTTAACAGAATTATTTCCTTTCGGATGTTAGTAACAAGACGGTCTGGCAAAGGAAAGTTCGAAATCAACACATTCGCTTCTACGGCGCTTTTACGAGATGAAAATCGGCAGCAGGGAGTGCCAATTTCACTAATCAAACTAGAAAAGTGAAAATATGCGATCTCTATAATTATGGAAATTTAAAATCGTTGTGTAATTGGCTAATTATCGATTCCTCATAATTTTTGATTATTACTAAAACATCGGGTTTTGATTGGTCAATTACTGTACAAACTATTTTAGAAATTGCTATAGATTTTGAGCCGTTTCCTCCTGAATGATTTTCGAAAAATTCATCAAAAGCAATGGTTTCTGAAGCTACTAATGTAAGGAGCTAATCCAAGGCACTAAAATAAAATGAAGTAACAATAATAACAGATATTTACTTTTTTTCAGATGGCTGATGCATTAGCTTTGAAATGGATTAGTACCTGCATTGCAACACAAACATAAATAGGTAAGAAAGTATAATTAATCCGTTACGACACACCGTATCTACACGGTTAATTGAAAAAAAGAAACCAACCATTGTTAGCATAATCTGCAAGCATCGATTTTCAGCGTGTTATTATCTTTAAAACGAGACCGAATAGCTATCAAGGTCGTTCGTTTTTAATCAACGAGGTGTTGTATAAGAATTCGACTTTCTCTGGAACTATTTTAACTTAAAATAATCAAAAACGTGTCTCGTATACACTGAACCAAAAAAGTACGTGCAGATAATGAAAAAATACATTAATCCAAGAAATTTTTACATTAAAAGTCGTCCAATAAACGATTTCATTAAATCAATGAACGTTTGTTCATTAAGCGATGAAGAGGTACATTAAGTGATGTATAATTCGTTGATATGATGAAATGAAAATCATTGTTTCGATGAATTAAAGTTGCTGACCCAATAAAGAAGTACATTAATTCAATGTAATATTTTACATTGGTTTAATGAACGGTGTACACTGATTCAACAAATTTTAGATTTTTTCTAATAAATGTAGTACATTGATTCAATGAAATGCTTTCATAGAATCAATGAAATGCTTTCATAGAATCAATGAAACTTAGATCTTGGTTTAATGAATTTCTTTTATTGAATTAAGGAATTTTAGCTTTTGAATTAATGAACGCAGTACATTGAATTAATGAATTTGATTTATTAAATTAACGAATTTACATTTTTTGTATTATTGCTTGAAGAAACTGGTCAATCTTCGAAGAATTATTTTCGAATTGTTCCATAAAATTCTTTGCATCATACGCTGGGGCGAAATCCATATCGATCTAAAAAAAAGTAATGGGTTAATATAGTAGACTGTAAATTCCTATCTACATATCCAGTAAGTATATAGATTGCTCCATTGTTCATTGCAACATAGGCTATGGGTGCAACAAAGATAACTTCAATTAGACACTTGTAAAGGAAAAAGAAAGAGTATGATATTATGTCATTGCAACTTTTCACTCTGACAACTGTTATTTTACTAATATTTCTTTGTTCAACTCATAGAAATGCTCATGTTGCAATCGCGAATGAAGCACGGTGTAGGTATACTATTGAATAAGGTACTCACCAAGCGATATCCAGATGGTCGTTTGTAATAAGTTCATTTTATCATCTGAATTTTTGTGCGTTTTTTGTGCGTCACTCAAGCGAAGTTCCAATACATGCTGCATACGTCGAACTCTTCCGATGATAAATTTTCAAACTTCAGAAGTCTTATGCACGTTTCACAAATGTCTTTGGGGCCTAAAAATTTAATATATCCAATAATTTAATGAGTTGTAGTAAAAACCATAAAAACTTACACACATTTTGTATGAATCTTGAAGTTGTTGCACTTATATCTCCCTTAGGCTTTACGTTTGTGTTTAAAATTAAATCCTAGAAATAAAATGTATAAGTATTAACCTATAGTGTACCGAATTAAAAAATGCTTACCTCTTAAAACAAAAGCGCTTGAATTTTCTTCCTTCTGATAATACAAAACGAAAACGAAATTAACTAAACAGAACACTTCCAGTTCAACGCTTCAACACGAAATAACAGGAGAGAAAGAGGGGTAATTAACGGTCAACGCGATTTTCGAAAGCGTCTCTATCTATTTCTTTTTTTCTAATAGAATAGAACGGCATAGATTTGCACTCTAGTGTGTATTGCCAAAATCCAAACTGATATTCATTGACTTAATGAAGAGCGTTCATTAACTCAATGAACTCGAGACAAGAATTTACGTATCCAGTTTGTTGAATCAATGTACGGGCTACATAAAAAATTACGAATGTGGTTTATCGAACCAATGTATATGCATTCATTGTCTCAATGAACTCGAACATAGAATTTATGTATTAAATTTGTTGAATCAATGTACGGGCAACATTAAAAATGCCGAATGTGTTTTATCGAACTAATGATGTATATGCGTTCATTGGCTCAATGAACTCGAACATAGGATTTATGTACTCAATTTGTTGAATCAATGTACGGGCTACATAAAAAATTACGAATGTGGTTTATCGAACTAATGTATTAATGTTTTTGGTTCAATAATTAAATTTCATTAAAAGAATGAACAATTCGTTATATTAATGTACAAGTTACTTTGATTTAATGTATCGAATACATTAACTGAAATATTCGCTTTTAATGTACTAGGTTGTTATATTAATGATTAAATTTCATTGAATTAATAAAAATTGTTATTGAGTTAATGAAATTTTACATTAATAATTAATGTTACAAGAAACATTGAGTTAATAAATGAAATCATTAACTAATGAATGAAAATTTATTGGATTAATGTATTATTTTATTGAGCTAATGAAAACAAGTTGAAAACATGGTGTTCATTGATATTATGTACCAAAATTTTTTCAGTGTACCTTTGGTAACATTACTCGCATCGTGTTTTTTATTATGGTTTTTCCTGATAAATATTTATATTAATTCGAGCGGTCCCGTTACGGATGAAATTTTATTTTTTTCTTCTATCCTTCGGTAATCGATTTACTCGTAAAGCATATCAAAATTAACGATGTAATTCCGTAACCAAAATTTTATTAGTTATATTCACTACATTACACAAATATACCCAACGAAGCGTCGAAGTATTTTAGAAATCATTGAAAATTTGAATTTTTGATAGAATTGATAGAAGGTAAAAGACCGTTAACCTACTTCTATTTTTCCAAACTAATCTAAAAATATGTACGCAAGTACCTACACCAACTTTTATTTAGATCTTAACCTGCGATTGAACCTGGAAACTGTTGGAAATTCCTTCTCAGTTTATACAATACAAAGGCTTATTTTAGGTTTCGATGACATGTCTCCGTTTTGCGATAAACTCGTTTGTTGAAACCATGTTTATATACAGAGGATTTTTTATTGGAAACGCCACCGTGTGAACGATCGTTGCATCTAAATTTAACTTATAAAATAAACATTTTTTTCTGCAATTGCGCTTGATTATGAAAATGCTGCACGTAATCTTTTTCCATTGAACTATCGATTTAACATTGCTAATATTTTTCCACTGAAAATGGGTTTCCAGAGGTGGCGATTGATTCTATTCGTAACGCGCGATTGACCAGATTCTTATGTGTAGTTGAGTTCTTATGTGTAGTTGGAATTCATTAAAAACTAACGAAGTCGTTACTCTTTTTCTGCCCCAATATTTCTATAATACTGTATACTTCCTTAATTACTCACCGGTAATTGCACAGGAAATAATTTAATTGTGCTTTTAATTCATTTTTGATGTAAGGAAGCCTTTTTGGATAAAATGCGCATCAAATCGAGTAGCTTTTACCTTTAAATTCAACTTCTACTGACGAAACCCATGTTGTAATATAATTTTTAGATTTACATTTAGGTGTAATTTAAAAATATTTCACTAATTGGATAATTAATCACAAGAATTTATGGATATTTTTCATCAAAATGAGGTAATGCTGTTTAGTCCTCATTAAATAGACAACATATTATTTTCGTATTCTTTGTCATTGAAGTTCTAATACAGCGAATTTATCACTTTTTCTTGGAGGTGATTAAACGTTATTTCAACATTTTCTTGTAACCTCAAATTGTATGTGCAAGTACACCTAATAAAATTTGTTGAAAAATTTCATCTATGCAACATAGGTACAACTATGGATTCGAATTAAGCGATTTCATTGAGTTGCGGCGATTAACATTGATCTTCAATGCTCCATACTCATCAAATCTCTTCATCAAGTGCCAATATTCTCGCTTAATAGTGCCAATGTTTTAACGATTTCCTTATAACTATACAGCATTTTTTATCATTATTGTGTGCAATTTAAGTCTAAACGGTGTAAACATGATTCAGTAAATTTAATAGTTCAACATACTTTGCTATTAGTCTACTTATTTATTATTATTACCGACAGTTTGCTCAAATTTACTTGCCTACGTTAGGTAATCATAAATAAATAGTAAAGTCAGAAATAAAATAATAATTTATAATAAAAAACTACCTAAATTTCATTATCGACTTTAACGATTTCAATACACTTATTATCTTTGGTACCTATTTAAAATTTAATCGTGGTTAATTAAAATTTTGTAGCACAATACCTGCGCTTATTTAATGGTTTAATTCAAATTTTACGTGGTTTGTTTCAAACACAAACAAAATTATTAACGATTTCCGTTTAAAACCGATCTATAATAATTAATATTGCAGATTATTTTCCAATAAAAAATTCAGTTTCCAATTAAGTAACTTTCCAACCTACTTTAATTGAATTGTATTAGAGAAACAATGATTTTTTGATTGCACCTAATACATTATTGAAGCATCAGGTGCTCTATTCCTGGATAGAGGTTGTATCTGATAAAAAATTTAGTAGTAATATTAGTAAGTAATTTGTTACAATCATCCCGGTATAAATTACTTATGACTACGTTGATGAGTAAAATTGGATCACTGGGAAAAATAAAATGTAGAAATAAAGGTTCAAATTGTTCAGATGTGTTAAGTTTTTCTCAAAGTAAAAGAATGCACATTTTCCTGCATTAGATGTAATTTTAATGTAGGGTAGGGCGGGGCTAGTTGAGCAACTTTTCACTTTAGTGGATATAGCTCATCAATGATATGTGTGAATGACTTGTTATGTGGCTTGATGGATTAGTAATTTATCCCTTAACAAAAGTGTCCATAGTAACTTTTTTGTAACTAGTTGAATTTAAGAGCTACAGCTGTTTAAATGCAGAAAGTCAAGTATGCTCAATGTACCCCATAGGTGAGGTAAGTTGAGCAACGGTATGTTTACATATAGGATATGTTTATTTTTATAATCATCTCTTTATTTTTTGTGATTTAGTGACAAAACAACAAAACTTAAAGTAATTTACGAGCTTTCTGTTTAAAATCAGAATTAAATAGCTTAAAAAAATATTAATAATATATTAGCAAGTTTTGGTCGTTGTTACTGTTG